ACTACTCTTTGCAACTGTTCCACCAACTCTAGGGGTGGTAGTTGCTTTTAGTAACTCAATCTCTGGGTTACCAAAGCAACTTTTTTGCTGTTTGAGCCTTCAAACATTTGTATTAATTAATTTATACTTAAACTGCATCAATTTATACTCCAAGCAAGAAAGCATCAATGGAATGCAAGCTAATACTGATTGTAGCATGGTGTTTTTCTTTGTATTTGTCTTTATTACACGAAGGATTTCCTGTTTATGAATTTCTTATTAATTCCCTTTGCAAGACTTGTTCACTATTCCTTTAAGAATCTTTATACATTACAGCATACCATCTGTGTTTCCAACAATTTTCTTGATTTAAATTGCATTCTTCCCAACCAAGATATAAGAGAGATCTAAACTGTCCTATTCATTTCAATATCTTCAGTGCTTTATATACAGGATTAATAAAATTATTTTTCAACAAATGGATTTTAAAAATTCAATCCATATTTCATTTCTGACTTGTCGTAAGTGTCCCCTTCCCCACACAAAAAAAGGAGTAACAGAAATATACTTATTACTAACACTTTAATTCATTTTATATATTTAAAACCTGAGATAAATAACTTATCCCTCACTCAACTGTGAAGTCAAGATGAGCAATCCAGATTAATTTTTCTTTTCAAAAGTTTACTAGTTATTTATTGGATAATCTAACTTTTTCTGACTAATTTCTTTGTTAAACATCGTACTTCTCCACTCATTATTAGAGGACCTGAAAAGAACTTGTGTACTTCCAGGTGTTGATTTTTATTTCTTCAATATTTTCTTAATGGTTGTTACTATTATAGGAAAAACTTTGGATTTTTACATACTTATTTTAGTAATTTTATTTTTAGTTTTCCAGTTGATTCTTTAAGAGTCTCCAAGAAATATAATAATTTTGCTTTTCCTTTTCAACACTTGTACCTTGTACATTTTCTTATATAATGATATTGGCCAATGTCTCTAAAATTAATGACAGTGCATTTCCTCATCTCATTCCTGATTTTACTGGAATATTTCTAGTGTTTTACTATATGATGGTGTCTAACAATTTGAGAGATATTTACTATTTTATAATGGCATTTAATTCATTTTTATTGGATTTAACTAGCAACATACTGATTTTTTTTTTATCAAAAGCACTTGAAACATCTATCAAAATGATCTGTGTTCCCTTTTCCTTTTATTCATTTTCATAACCAACTATAACACGGTTAGCTTTGTATTACTTGAAATAACCACATTTAACCACTGGAGTAAGTTCTTTTTGTGCTGTTTACTTAAGATTTCTGCATCAAGATTAGTAAGATTTGTCTTAGCTTTCTGTTGGGGCATCTTTTATCAGTTTTAGCATTCCTGCTAGTTACTTTGGATTTTTAAGAAGTAATCTGAATGCTCCCCACCCCCACTATGATCTGAACAATTAATAAGAACTAGAATTTCTGATTTCTTAGATTTGAAATTTGCCACATTTTAGTAATTTTTTTAAATAAGTGTAGCCTTATAAGTCTTTTTCTTCCCTCTTCTTGAGTTAATTTATATTACCCCTTAAAAAAAACCCTAGGTTTTCAAATATGTATGCAAAGCCACATCTAAAAGAGAGCGTATGAAATGATAAGAAAAGACAAACCAGAGAGATAAAACAAGAAGAAAACCAAAGTCGGATTTAGGGAAATAAACAAAACTGAATTCAAAGGGACAAAGCATACAACATTATGGATAGAGCAACAATAAAAAGGACTAATGCTAATACATATTAAAGAGTATCTTTAGTTGTTTGCCCTTACTTAAACAGAACTTGTTAGGAAATTCTTTAACTCCATTAAAACTCACTCTCTGTTGAATCATTAATTTCAGAAATTATATGCAGTTGATGAGAAATGTCAGTCCCATTACATTTCTGCTGTACATGACCCTTGATGTTTGTGAAAGCACTTCCATAATCCCTGAAAATTCAGCAAACTGCATCTGAATATTTTTCTAGCCATCTTGATCTTCAGATTCAGGTTTTCACCCTTCTTAAACAAATTTACTATTATTATTTAAAAAATAATTCCCCTGTCCATTTTCAACTGCCTTTGCCAGAAAAGCCAATTATGACTTAACACTAAGTGCAATTCATTCTGTTCAACTGATTTCTTTGCCCATTTTCTCCACAATTTATGGAATTTCCTCAAGTTCAATCTCTATCTTACTGATTACATTTTCTATATTGGTTACTCTGCTCCTTTCAATAAACAAATATTCCATTATGCACATATGTTTCTGCTCTTCTTTATCCGTGGCTCTGTCACTACCCATTTTATATTTTATCTTATTTTTGTTCTTTTTTCCCCTCAGATATCAGTTTAACTTTCCTGGCAGTTTAGCATTGTCTAAAACCTTTTTCCCTAGAAAAACTCAATTTTTCCAAATAGTGTTTATCAGCTATCCTTTGAGTATCAAGTATTTGAAAGCTTTTTTGTTTCCTAGTTTGTCTTTTGGTAATTCATCTTTTTAATTCTCTCTGGTTATGACATTTAAATAAAAATGCAGGCAGTGTCTCCCTGATGACTGAACATTAGGCATTTCTGTTAAAAAATAAACATCAAAGCTTCCAACGCAAGCTACTTGTGGTTGGTTAAGTAGCACAGAGGAAACAGACTAATGAATTCTTTGCCTCTGTGAAATCTCTCTCCAAGTCAGTAAAACCCTTCCAAAGTCCAGCTCCACTTGGACAATGGTTATACCTGATATATGAGGGAACTCTCATTTTGAGCACATCTGCCTACCTGGACAGAGGTGGACTTCTCAGACAAGCCTAGTCAGAATGGAGCCCATAACTCACCATCATTTTTGTTAGTGAGTTGGCATATAACTTTTCTGTTTCTGTGAAGTTGGTAAGAAGACATTTGCTTCATGATTCTGTCTAAGCCTTACCTAAGTTTTGCTCCTTCTGTTAAGAAAAATAGGTCAGCCCGAAGAAAAAATGGTATGGTCGCAGTCTCTCCTTGAAATTTTCCATCTTTTTTAAAAAGCCTGCCCATATCTCAATTCCTTCCAAATTATTAAATGATCAAACACACCAGGGTTATGGGTAACAATTGTCAATATTCTCACATTCACTCAATTCAGTCTAAATAGCTTAGTACAAATTCTGTCTGGCTTTTGGTAGTATCTACATAGATACATTTTTTTCGTTTTGCTCTTTTTAATACTTTGATGAATTCAAGGGAAGATAAATATTCACTTAACTCTATCATTTTTCCTCAAAATTAACTCACCCAATTTAATATTTAAACCATATAATCTGCATACATATTTTATCTCATAGAAGACATATACTACGAGTTACTTCATCAAGAACAGTGTGTGCACACAGCAGGTATTCAATATCAGTTGAGATAATTCTCCTCATGAGGAACATATGAAACATACTCAGCATATAAATCACATAATTTTAAATACTTCAGTTCCATATTAAAGCAGCATATTAAAATGCCCTTGTGTGCTCTAAAATGTCCACCTTTCAACCTTGCTCTCACAGTTCTCCTATAAATATATCAAACAATGTTTCTTTAAAATATAAAGGGTACTAAGACAGTCCAGAATTAAAAAAAAAAACCTCCAGTGAATAAATTAAATTAAAGCTTGTTCAAAGTTCTAATTAAGAAAAAAACTATGTCATAATCAATATAATACCACAGCCACTAGAGACAAACAGGCTTAAATTCAAATCTTCACTGTTACTTGCTAGTTCTATGACCGAAAACCATTTACATCGGTGAAGATTAGATTCTTCATATGAAGACTAAGATAAGTCCTAAATGAGATAATACAGTAAGTGGGCAGTCAGTAAGTGAGAGAGTATATGTGAGTGCGTGACTAAGAGAGAGAAAGAGAGAATGCATATATGTGTGTGTGTGCACACACGTGCACACCTCCTCATTCTGTTCTCTGATCTGGACAAGAAATTCACAGCACAACCCCAAAGGAAATTTATGTTTTGGACTCCAGTGAAAATTAAGTAGTCAGTTGTAAACATTAAAGTTTCTTACTTCTGCCAACAAAAATAGTGTTATGAAATTCTGGAATATTTCAATTATCTCAATATTGTCTTTGTGTATCAATAGTTTGCAGAATTAAGTTTACATGAACAGGAAGTAATAACAAAAAGTACACCAGAGATTCTAACTGCTAGTTTTTGTTCACAGTCTCTTTCTGAAGAAAAGGGCATAGGCAATTTTTCAACATGAAAAGAAGCATTCTACCTCAGCGATGACTCACTAGACCAGTGACTAAAAGCCAGAGTAATGAGGCAGAAGTAAAATCAGCCACCACTGACTATAGCAATAGCAGGACCAACTCTATCTGATACTTTCTCCAGAACAGGAAGGAGAGATGAATACAGGAAAGTAAAAATGGATCCATAAAGAATGAAGACTTAGTCTTCTTTTGAGCTATTTTAGAATCTTGAACAATAATCAACCACAATATAACAGCTCAATTTCCAATTCTAGGAAATGCTAAAACATACCAAAACAAACGAACAAAAAATAACATTGCCATTAAGATGATATTCTATGTTTCCAGCTTCCCTGTGCCAAGTAAAGCAATGCTTTTGAAAATTTTCAATCCAATACCCTTAATCACAAAGAAAAGTGTGCTGTGAACAGTATTCAAAAAATTCCTTTGCAATTTCTCAATGGACCTTAATTTCATGATTTCTTCTATGCCATTGTACATGAAGGAACCATTTCACTATAAATTTTTTACTAAAATCTTTAAACAAAATTAATGCTTTAGAAAGATACGTCTACCCCACATTTTCACGAATCTTCCATAATCAACAACCAATATTCTCAGAGAGAAATAACAATCTAAAATAAATATAGATAATAAAACCTAGACATTACTTTCTCAAAACTTAAAAGATTCTCATAAACCAAAAAAGTCACTTATTTCTTCTATTTTTCCAGAATATCAGAATAACATCAACTCACGATCTAATATGTGGGAAATCCTCTTCAATTTTGCTTCCTGTGTTTTTGAAAATTTGGAGTGCAGCCTCTGCTACTTTTTCATCATCCATTTTTAGACAAGCCAGGAGAGATTCAAATGTTTCAGCAGAATGAAATGATATGGGATGTGTAAATGACAGTACCTACAGAAAGAGTCATAAAAATGATTTGTAAACCCTTTTGATCTTTCTAATATAAAATACTATATATTAGAAATACGACAAATCCAAGTCAGTACAAAAGTAATTATGTTAACAAGTAAATGAGAGCACTATAAATAAATATTAAAGTTAATCAAATATATAAGTGGAATGTCTTATGTAGGAAGACTGCATAATCTAAAAAAATACTTTCTAAATTAAATTACATGTCAATATAATTCTATTCTAATAATTTGGACTTTTGTTGATGTTTGGGTTTGTTTTGAGGGAGATGGTAAAAGACATTATAAAGTTACAATAAACAAGATGGGGGTAGGCAGAAAGAGGGGAGAGGGCCCAATAGACTATTGTGGAGGTGACTGATACTTTGACCATGGGCGTGGTGTGGATAATACACATTTGAAGAGGTATGACTCTATACCCCTAAAATATATTTACAGTGTTGTAAATCAACACTGCCTCAATAAAAATAATTTAATTTTAAAAAGTTACAATAAGTCATTGTGGCAATAAGGTTGCAAGAATCATAGAACAGTAAAACAATAAATAGATCCCAGCATACAAGAACTTTAATTATATAGAATATAACATCTTAAAGAGGAAATATAAGATACATGAGAATAGATGACATTTTTAATAAACTGTCTTGATAGAACTGTTAGCTATGTGAAGAAAAATCAAATTAGACCTTCTCCTATAATACACACTTTCAAAATAAATTTCAAATGGCTTATGACTCAGATTTAAAAATCAAAAACAAAAAAACCCTCTGAATATAACAGTATTTTAAATGTAAAACAAACAGGTTGAATCAAATCTGCAATATAAAAAAAGCAAGCAGTAAAAAAATACATTATGTACAATGCCACATTTACAAGAATCAGTAACAAGGGAAATAAGCAAGGTAATTCAGAAATACTGATACAAGACACATGACAAACTATCAAGAATAGTAAGAGAATAATAAACCTAATATCCTGGAAAATTACACCTGGGGGATGGGGGAGAGATCACTCAGGGACTTCAACACATTGAAGTTAACACATCTGAGTTGATTTCTATTTACTTTTCTTTTTTTCTTTTTTTTTATTTATTTATACATATAAGAACTGGGGTACAGGCCAGAGGTGTGTGGAGGGTGAGAGGATTCACCAGAGACAGAGTGGGGAACAGAATAGGTGGATCGATGAAATACACTGCTGAGGGGAGCAGTGGGTAAGTCAGGAGAGGTCTGCTGAGCCATGTGGGTAGCTCCCTGGCAAGCCAGGGATTGAACTCATGCTGCAGGGGCTGCTGCAAGCTTCACAGGTTGAGTCTTAACCCCTTGTGCCACCAGGGAGGCCCTTATTTACTTTTCACTAGTATTCATTTTATTACTAAATTTCATAACTCATATATGACAGTATATGTCCTATCTTGTATAAATGAAGTAGAAAGCAGTAATTATGCAAAGTTAAAACATTACTTTTGCTTGTCATACTGACAATTCTCTTTAAATTTTACAATATTCCTTGCTTGTAAAGATAGGGAGATATGCAACTTACTACTAATGAAATTATTTATGTGTACAGTTTCTCTCTCAAGGAATTTGACTATAAACATAATGTGATTATATTTAAGAATTTTGAAAAGATCATTCTTTTTTTTTAAAGATTTAAAGATTTTAAAGATTTATTTATTTATGCATACAAGAACTGGGGTACAGGCTAGAGGTGTGGGGGGTGAGAGGATTCACCAGAGACAGAGTAGGGAACAGAACAGGCAGATTGACTGAAATACACTGTTGAGGGGAGCAGTGGCTGAGACAAGAGAGGTATACTGCACCATCCCCTGGCCAGGGATTGAACTTGTGCTGCAGTGGCCGTGGGTAGATTCATAGGTTGCATCTTTAACCCCTGTGCCACCAGGGAGGCCCCATTTTCTTTAACCCAGTAATGCCCTTTAGTATCCACCAAAAAAGAACATTAGCCAGAAATCTTAAACATGTTTACCTTAATAGTGATTATAAAGAGTAAGATGAGAAAATACAAATATCCAGCAAAATAGTTGGAAACTAGACTATGATACCCAAGGATGGACAAATCACCATTTCAAAAAGTATTATTTTTAACAAGCCATACACTTCGCTACAAAATCTAGTCACATGATTTAATTTAGTCCTTCTAGAAGCAAGTATCTCCATTGCAGATGAGGAAATGGAAGCTTTTGCCCAAATGCATACATCTAATAAATGACAGTGAATAATCAGGTATTTCTTGATACTCTTAAGAATATTATCTTAAACAGAGAAAAATGCATACACACAAAATTGCATATTCAGTTCAATCTTAACTATATAAAATTTTCAATCCACACTTATTTAAAGAATAAAGGGCAACAAAAGACACTAATGTTTATGTGTGGTAGATTATGTTATTAGAACCTCAAAATATTCAGCTTCCATTGAGAATACTCAATTTCTAAATTACCTAAAATAATTAAGAAAATTTTATTTTTGGGCTATATAAAGAAGCAAACTTCAAGAATAAAAAATACACATGTACAGGTTTCACATTTATCTAATTAGAACTTAATTTCATCTTAAGCATATTTACCTTAAGCAGTTCAAGACCTGCTCTGATGGCTTGATCAGTTGGAACACCTTCATCTTCATCATCTGCTGTTCCATCTATTGATTTGTTCACTTGCTTAATAAGAGCACTATGATAAAAATATGACAAAAATGAAATTGTTTTTGAATGACTTTATTAACAATGTTTAAGAAAAACAATCCTAAATACTTTATATAGAGATTATATCCAGACCATATACAAATTTGATATAGTTGCTTCCTAAACACTATTGTAAATCAAAAAACTGTAACACTTTGAGATAATTCTTTTCAAAAATTATATTTTCCTTTGTCCAGTCAAATGAGGTCAAATGTTATTTGATTTGCTATATATTAAAGATACCTATATTTTTATTTTTTTATTTTCCATGGAAGCTTCAGACCCAAACACATAAAAATTTATTATTGCTGCAGAAAGAAAATCAATGTATATTGAAATAAAGGATAAATGGCAAAAGTAAGCACTTTCAAACCATTTATCAAATTATTACTATGTGTCATGTACTGCTCCAAGGGCCAGAAATACACAGATCTGTTCCTGAAACATGTAAAACATAGCTAGGCAAATACCTCACTAGATTATTTGATCAAAAATAAAAGAGTATTTCAAAGTTTTCTCCTAAAAACAAGTTTTGTTATTTTAAAATAAACACTTAGAAAGGATTGTCAGTTATCTAAAATAATTATACACACAAGTAGGTATTTTTTTACACTAAGTTACAGACATACACATATCAAAATAAAAGAACATTCAGTTATTTAGTGTTCCTTAAAAGATCTTTGTTTCTATAAAAATAGTACCTATTCAAAATTTAAGGTCAAAGTAGGAATCAAATTTATGTGTCAACCCTGCAGAGTCCTGTTAAATTTATTATCCACTTAAACAGTTGATATCTAAGGATATTTTCTCTCCTTTTCTGCCTTATTTCCCTGATTAATCTCTTTCCATAGCTTCAACGACCCCAAATATAAATCTGAAAGTATCCTCTTTCAGCAGCCCTACATTTTTTTCACTTAGATGTACCATAGGCATGAAAAATACAACATATTCAAAATAAAACTCTTTTTTTTTCTTCCTCTCACAATTAAGAGCATGAAGCTGCCAGTTTAGTGAGGGAAGGCCAAAGTAAGCAAATATACATTTAAAAGACAATAAAGGAGCAGTAAGGACAATAAAGATCCAGACAAAAAGTGAAGTCCTTTGGCCAGGGAAGTCAGGAAAGGCATTCTGAAGAGGTACACAGAGATAACAACAACAGAACAAGAACCAGTGATAAAAAAAATTTAAAAAGCATTAACCTGGAAAAGTAGACAGAAACAACTATTTTAAAATACTGAGAGTTCAACGCATTAACATCAAGAAAACAAACATAAATAGGGCATTTCTGTATCCACCAAAGCTATTTAAAAAATAAAAAGGAGAAAATTTAATCTCAATGGTGTAAATATATAGAAAATAGTTAGGAATAAAATGTTTTAATCCACAGAAATTGTATGCAAATTCTAAAATTATAAAAACAGGGACCTGAATAAAAACACTGTAAGTATTTTTCAAAAGATGGAAACTAAGTAATATAAAATTGGTGTTTTTTCCAATAAATCTATAAATGGTTAGGGGAACACAAAGGTATGTATGGGACAAAACTTAACAAACAAACAAAAAAAAATTGCTTGGAAACATAATTTTTGGGGAATTAGGAATGTAAGTAGTTTCTCAAAGAGATAAAAATATATCACAAAAACCTGAGAAGTCAAAGTGACCAAAACAAATCTGATAAGAGTTCAAGTCATATAAAAATACATACTATAATAAGGAACATGTCAAATCAAAAAGGAGCAATAAATTTTTCAATAAAGGAGTTGATATAACTAATTATCACATGCTTTAACTAAAAGGATGGAGCTCTATTTACACCTTACACTAAAATGAATTCCAGGTCAATTAAAGATTTACATGCAACAGACATAACCACATAAACCTGATACTAAAGACAGAAAGAAATCATAAAGGAAATACTGGAAAGATTTAATTACATAATTTAGTATTTATCAATGTCATGCACAAATTTAAAAGGCAAACTGATTTAGCAATATTATTTTATGAAGCAATCTTTTTTTTGTATTGATTTTTTTTTTTTATTTTTCACATCATTGTTCATTTTTAAACAGTATTTGCTTCCTCCCACCCCCTCAGGTGTAGTCCCCATAGAGTTTCCTTCACCAATGCACCGTGCACCATCTACCTCAGTCCCCTGTGCTCCTCCCTTCCTCCTTCCCTCTGATCCCTCTCCCTCTTCCTCCCCTGCAGGATGTTTCTGATTTATAATTGTTCGTTTTTACTTTGTTGTGTTTTGTACTGTTATTATTTTTTTACACTGATGTCTTATTTGGTTCCCCTATATTCCTGCTATAAGTGAAACCATCCTATATTTTTCATTTTCCTTCTGGAAGTTCCTCAGTCTACCAAACGACCATATGACCTGGCAATTCCACTTCTAGGGAGCTAGCCAAAGGACATAAAAACATTGATTCAAAAGAACACCTGTACACCTATGTTTATTGCAGCACTATTTACAATAGGTAAAACCTGGAAACAACCCAAATGCCCAAAAATAGATGATTGGATCAAGAAGATGTGGCATATATACACAGTGGAGTATTATTCAGCAATTAAAAAGATAAACTCATGCCATTCGCAGCAACATGGATGGAACTAGAAGGAATTATGCTCAGTGAAGCAATCTTATAAGCAATAAGAAAATTCCTCCAAGGCCCTTGAGGAATATCTGTAATATGGGATTATTTCCTGTCTCATAAAGTTCAGAAGCAAATGAGTTGCTAAAACACGTAAACTTTTACAATCATGAGGCACATTTAAACACCAATAGCTACAATCTTTTACTATTATTTATTTTTTTGCATATCCGCTACATCACTGTGCCTTTCTCATTACTGAAGTCAAAGGCCTTTTTAAGTCCTCTCTTTGACTATCCACAGTATGTATTATTTCTGAAAACTTCCTACATCTTACATTTACATAATTTTTCTACTGAAAATAAAAATTCCAAGGTTCTGTTCATCATCTTTTCATCTTTTTATTTCTTTCTAAACAATTTCATGCTTGTGGAACTTCTAACAGCTTCACATTGAATGCAATTTGCCTTTTTAAAAATTGTTTATTGTCCACAAATAAAAAGCACATTCTTTATTTCCTTCAAAATCAGTCCCTTTCATTCTTTTTAAGCCATTATTATTCTTCCTATCTTTGGACAGAAGCCTTTATACTTCAGATTCCTCTTTATTCCACTTTTCCAGTAAAATGATACACATTTCAGGCTGTTCTTTTAAAATTTTCCTCAAACGTGTTTTCTTTCCATTCCATTAATCCAGCCAGACAATAACACCACCTCAGCAGTCTAACTCTTCTATTTCTTCCTACCTACCATCCTAACCATCACCCATGGTTCTCAACAGATTAAAAAAATAAATGCTCTAAAAGTGTCTTAAAGACTTTTCACAGTCTGATCCCAACTACTTTTATACCTCTCCATACTGTAACTTAGATGTCACTTATTTCTACTGTTCTTTCCTCTGCAGTTAGCTTGGCTTATAATAATTCCAATGCCAGGATTACTCCTACCAACTCTATAGAAACAAAATGTTACCCATTATTCCTCTTAGGTAAAATACTACCACTCAAAGAAATCCTGTTTCAGTTCTCTGAACTCGATTTTCATTAACTTTATGAAATTATAATTGCCTGATAAAACTTCTTTTATTCCATTACTAGAAAGAAGGTTGATGGAAGCAGAAAGTATGCCGGGCCAATATTTAAATAGCATTGCCTTCAACAGAGAAAGCATGGGATCAATTATTAAATTAATGAATTTCCATCTGATTCAGATTCTTCCTTAGACTAATATAGAAGGGTTATAGTTTCGTTTTCTTTTCTTTTCTTTTGTTTCTCAAACCACGGAACGCCTCTTCAAATGAAAACTGATGCAAGACAAGTCCAAAGTGACTAATGGGTATTCAAAGTAAGTTCTCCCTACTCTGTGGGTCAACTGCCAGAAGCTCAAAGGGGCTTCACTGATTATAAAATATACATTAGTATTATTCATTTTGGATTCTAATATACCTCTGAAAAAGACCAGTGGTGATTAGTAATTCATTTATGACATATTTTAAAAATGACTATTTTTTCAAATAAGATATTTTAATAAAGTTAAAGAACAAAACAAGAAAACCTCCTAATTTCACAAAAGGGAGTACAGACATAAAAAGTATTTTCGAAGATGTCAGGTGATATCAAAGGTGCATTTCAAATGACGGTTTATAAATATTTTCAGTTTTCAAACATGTGAAAATGCATCAGATTGTTGCTTTACAACATATTTACCACTTTGCTTTATCTGAAAGCATAACTGTAATTTGATTGTTTTAGCTAACTAGTGCAAGCTAACCAAAAAGATGAATTTTTGGTATACTGGTAACAGATAAAAACTAGGATTACATTGACAACTTTTCGCCCAAATTGAAGCAATACTTAAATACCAAAACCCTGAATATATATAGGGTTTTGGTATTTAAGTATTGCTTCAATAACCTAAATATATATTTAGGTTATATATATATTTAGTTATATATATATCTATTTAGTTATATATACACAGATACATACAGACGAATGCCTTGTGTATAGCAGATACCTAACAGTGACCAACCAAAGCATGAATGTATGAACATTAATAAAAATTTAATATTTTTATATAAAAATACCTTATAGATTCTGTATCTATGTGCACAGGTGCTATTCTCTCCAAGAGAAACTTGATCATTTCCAGGAAAGGGTTTGTAGGCTGTTTGGGGTTGCCCAACTTCTTAGTTATTTCACGCTGTAATTCAAATTTTGAAAAATATTACAAAGGTCTTTTTAATTATGTTAAAATGCTAAAAGTTAATCACAGTAAAAACCATGTAGTCTTGTTGCTAAAATAAACCAATAGGATTCAAAATAATCTGTAAAAATACCATATGATAAATTTAGCATATGAGAAGGGTACCATTTCAAATAAGTAGGAAAAAGATAATTCAATGTAATAAAATAACTGAAAGGACATTTAGAGTACATTTAGAGTAAAAACAGGGCTAGATTCCCACCTCATACCATATATCAAAACTGTTACAAGAGGATAAAAACAAATACAAAAGAATAAAATCATGGGTCAATAGCTGCACAAAGTTCAGTAAGCAAAATTATCAGGGAAGCTTGATCAAACTAAAGATTACTGAACTTCATCTGAAGATTTTACTTATTCAACCTGGGATATCGTCAAGAAACTTTTTTTTTTTTTAAATAAAAGCTTCTTGCAATATATTAGCAGAAGATTTTAAAATACTGACATTGGTAAATACTATCATTGAAATTTGCAATAAAATAGATTTCACAAGCAGATAAAAATCCTGGCAGGAGGCAAAACTTTGAGGAGAATAATGAGAGACTCTGCTAGATATAAATAGAAATTATGGTGTGTAAAAGGACCATAAAATGAAAAGGCAAACTACAACTAACAGAAAACTGTTCACAACTAAATAAGCAATAGCACAACAAACTAACAAATCAGTAAGATAAAGACAAATATCACCCCCAAAATAAGGCAGAGATTATAAACACACAATTTACAAAACAAATATGAACAGTTAACACGTTCAAGAGAAAAACTGACAGATGCCTAGCAACCAAGCAATAAATATCCTTTCAAAAATGAATTGCTTTTGTTTGGGTTTTGCTTGTTTCCAACAATGATACCAATATTGAATTTACCCTAATGAAATAATCGAGATAGTGAAAAATGATTATTCTATAAAGATATTAATGATACATTAAATCAAAAACTGGGGAAAAATCTAAATGTGTAACAAGTGAACTATTTAATCAACTGTATTACATATATGCAGTGGTATGCTATTTTAAACATAATACTATAAAATTAAATACAATATTGTAAAAGACTAAAATTGTACAAAGCTATATATATGTACCACATGATCTGATTTCAGAAGGATTTACACTATAATATTAACAGAAATTATCCCCTATACATAATTTATATATTTTTATATACATATATATTATATAGTCATCTTTGTGGTTATTTTCTAAATTCTACATAGTGAGTATAAATTATTTTTGTAAAGGGGGACAAAATAAAGATTTGGAGATTTCTTCAAACAGTAGCTTTTTAAAATTTCTCTCCTTACCACACAACCTTCAGCCTGCTTGCAGGAGCATGTTGGACTAACAAGTACTTCTAACTGTTTTCTTATTTTCTCATCATCTTCTAACACCTGTGTGAATTTCTTCATGAAATCCTGAGCCTTACCAGGATCTGGCAAATTTCCTTAAATTAAATTAAATTAAAATTCAATTAAAATACAATTTTAGGAATTTCTTAAAATAATAAAAGATCAACATTTTTCATCCTTTTTATGACTCTGAATAGCAATTCTAACTCACAATTTCAGTTTAGTTTAATGAGATAAGTTGTGAAGCACCTTCAACAGTCAACCTTCACAAACAAAACTTTGATTTCTAGAAATGTAAAACAAGATCATTGTGAAGGAACAAATATCCAGGAAAAATCTAAATGGGTTATTTCTAAGTAAATGCCTAAATATTTCAGGACATTAAAAAACCTGTAATACCAATTTTATTACTATCTCTTAGATCTTTTTGCATACATTGTTCTCGTGAAATTCACAAGCTGTCAATCAGTAAGTTTTACCTGTAAGAACATTATTGCTTATTTTCAAACTATCCAGAGATAATTCACATACACAAGCATATCATCTGGCACTGAGACATGCTGAGGAGTATGTTGCTGCTGAGTATGTCATTATTGCATGAGAAAGATGAGTCTTTAATGAATCAAAGATGATTTTTATACTACTCTAGTATGTTCATGTATCAAAACACTTATGAAACTAAATAAAATGTTGATCCTAATATCTATAACTCATCAATGTTACAGAAAGTCAGGCTCTAATAACAGAAATTATAGTAAAGAATAATGAACAGTAATAAACCATAGAAAATAAACTGTATCTTAAAATTTCAAGATTACAAATGCAGTCTTCAAGTCTAAAATTCCAGTCTTGGCTAGATCACTGAATTTAGTGAAAAAAATTTTCCACTAAATATCAATCTTGACTGTGTTATCTTTCCATATTTATAAAATACCAAAAAAAAAATCTACTGTACAATTTTCAAATTAATTTTAGGAAATGTCACCTTACAGACCCATGAAAATATATAAGCATAATATTAAAGGTTACATAAGGCCAACCATTTAAAAACAAAATGAAGAGACAGAGATGGGTAGAGAGAGAGAAAAGGGAACACAGACAGAGAGACAAAAAGAGGAGATGGAAAGGAGGCAGAACAGGAGGGAGGCAAAGGAGAAGGGAAAAAAAACCTGTAAATTCAGCATTCTATTACAAAGCTACCTGGAGCCCCTTTTTTCTAATACATTTAAAAGATGCAGAATACTAACATGCCTCAGAACAAATTTTGGGAAATATTATACTTATTGAAAGAGAAAAGGATATAGGGGAAAAATAGAATTAAAGAGGATAATCTCCTTTAAGGGATAAGTCCACAGCCAAACTTCTGAGGAGATAGTTATAAAAAGGCAATAGTACAAAATCATTTGCCTTAACTGCCTAGAAATAAAAGATAATCTGACTTTAAAAAGCCCTATTCAGCTAAAACTCCTATCACTTAATCTAAAACCCAGTTAACTAGGTTACTGTTCTCTTCCGAATCTTAAATTTTACTTCCATACAACTCCTGGAATACTTTTGTTAATATCTCAGAACTCTATCTAAGAGTTCTTCATTGCCATCAAGTGTAAGCACAATCTAAACAGTCCTCCAGGTGTTTCCGATTTTTTTTAAGTAGTTTTTATTTTTTTAAGATTTATAAATTTATACAAGAACCTGGGTACAGGCCAGAGATGCGGAGGGTGAGAGGATTCACCAGAGACAGAGTGAGGAACAGAACAGGCAGACTGACTGAAACATACTGCTGAGGGGAGCAGTGGGTGAGACAAGAGAGGTCTGCTGCACCATGTGGGATTTTCGCTGGCCAGCTGGGATCAAACCCACGCTGCAGAGGCTGCGGACAGCTTTACAGCACTGTGCTCAACCTGCTGTGTGTGTGCCACCAGGAAGGTCCCTGTTTCTGATTTTCCCCCCATACACATGCTATACAGAGTGGTCCCTGAGAAGGGAAAGGAAACAAATGCCCTGCAAAATGCTACATTTTCCTATCCCTGCACTAAACAAAAGAGAAGTGCTATACAATTCTTTGGTATTTGCTGTAAAATGCAACTATGTAACATTTTATTTGAAATAATTTTTTTCAAAGAAATAATTCTACAGTTATTAGTCATATCCTTTCCTTCACTCTTAATTTTGGTTCAGCTTAAGATAGGTTCACATTGGAGCAAGCAACACCAAAGCATAGACTCGGTTGTTACAATAACATAATTTGAGTAAACTCTCAAAAATGAATTTATGTAATAAATCCTTTTTCTAGTACTTGCTCATCAAAAAAAATTTTAATTGAGTAGAATTCAAAGTAAGTAAAAATCAGGAGAAAAAAAAATACCTTAATCTTTTCTTGTATTACCATAGTCTAAGACAGAACTGAATAAAACTTTTAAATGTTTCAATTAAACCACACGCTTTACATGTAATATTTGAAATAACTTACTTGTAATAACCATCACTTTTGAAAATATGGCCTTGACACTGGCATCTGTCTGTAAATTACACAAAAAATTACAATTAACATTTCCTGACAATAATATTCATTATTCTACTGAAAAGTGTAAGTATAATTACTAGTGCTGAGGTCCTTGCCCATACCATCATGGCATGCTCCTTCTTAGCTATGTTTAAACTCCAAGTGAAATGATCGAAAGATGGAGGTAAACTCACACTTGACAGTCATCACCTCATTCCTCATCCTGTTTTGCTAGCCTCCAAACCAAAAAACAAACCAAAACAAACAAACAAACAAAAAAACTGCTGCACTAATCTTTTAGAAAAGGGAAATAATATCCTGGAAATACTGGGTTTTCAAGTCTTAGCACTACTGTATATAAAAAGTTGACAAGTATACAATTCTGACTGATTTGAAGTGTTCCTAAAATTTTGGCCTGAAAATTATAAAGCATACTCATGAAGCTTATGGGGAAAACACTGAATAAAGAATTAAAAAGATGTCACTGACATGTATAAAAGATGTTTGCAAGATTGCCAGGTATTTGGTGCATCAAGGAAGTGATTTTTCAGTGAATGTCATCTCTACCTCAATGTGCTACATGTAATATACTCTGGAAAGTCACATCTATAAAACACAAATTCTGAGAGTGGTAGTTATTTGTTGTATCAAGTTTATTTAAAAAAAGATGTTACTGCAACTTTGGTATACAATACTGAGCTCTACTGACAAAAACACTGAGATGAAAACAAATCAAATAAACTATCCTTATTGAGAAGGAGCTTGCTAAGTATAAGTGAAAGACAAAGCAAAATAGAATACTACAGTTAATTCTCAAATATTTGGAATTTAAAGTATTTGAATAGGTTTATCTAAAACCCTATGATTTATGTTGCTTAATATAGGTGGAAAGTAGTAGTGCTGAAGCTTTCAGGAAGTTGAGGCACATGAAAAGAAAAAGCATCAACAAAAGTAAAATACTGAAAATTATAAAGTCACTTTGAGTGACACTAATTCAATCTTAGCTATATGAATTAAGAAAATTATGCGCTGAGTTAAATAAGAATAAAAACTATCTCACTCAGATTAAATTAGAAAAAAGGCAAAAAAATTAAAATGATTATGAAGTAAAATAGTAAGACAGGAAACAGAAAGAAATATAAACACCCAAAACATTAAATGGCTTTGCATTATTTTCTAACTTTAACTCCATAATGTCTACATAATTCCTGGTTAATATTAAGTAATATTAAGTGAATATTAAGTAATATAATTACTACTTAAGTAATAAAAAGCAATCGTTTTCTAACTAGAATTCCAATTTCAGATATTAACCTCCTCCATTCTTTAAACACAACATGCGTGAGTAGGAATTCTCTCTTTAATTTGGATGATTCAATTATTATTTTATGACAATTTAAAGGAAAATTCCACACAGTAGAAAGTAACTAAACATTCTAATTGAATTGAGATAGTTTTTATGATTTTATGTAGGACTAAACAGGAAAGTCATGAGACCTTCTCAGGTTTTTATCACCAGAGGGAAAAGGGTCCCGATAAATGTATTTCAAAGGGACAGTGAGTCCAAAACAAAATTATATTTGATTACAATCTCACACCTCATTCTGTTCAACAGAAAATGTACACACTTAATATATTACTCACTATTAAGAGTTCAATAATACCTAAAATCAGGAATAATTTTATATACACACATTTAAAAAAAATCTTACATTTTTAATTTACTCTGTTGCATCTCTAGCCAAAGGAGTAAATTAACAAAGTTCTAGGTAGCAAACAGAAGCCCTTAATCCACAGCTTACTATTTGAAACATGCTAATTTGTTGCATGATAACACTGACTGAAACACGTTTATTGGCTAAAACACGAAAACTTAACAGGTTGTCCAATATCCTCCCTTTGCTGAGTAAGTATTGAAATAACAAAAGCACTGAAATTTGAATTTTAAGTCATATATTTTATAAAGGAAAACTTATTCTAACAGGTTCAATATACTCATAGAAGATTAAGTTACAGTCAATAAACTATCACCAGGGAAGTTACTGCCAGCTTATAAAAGAAAAATACTAGCCAGTTTTAATTAGGCAAACAAGTCGGCATGAAATGTCTTTGTACTTGTGATTTGAAGGTTTTAAAAAATAGTGAGAGGGTCACAATAAGCCATTCAAACAACCAGTGTTATTAGGTCATTGATTTTTTAGGGCAAATGGTCAAATTTACATAAGAAAACTGGAAACTTTTTCCCTTTAGATAAAAATAACACTACTCTAACAGTCTCTATCCTATAACCATGAGGTGTATTATTAGGCAGGGGGCTAAGAGGTGTTCTACTATGAACTTAGAAATAAAAAAACACCACCACTGTATTATGTGCCCAGGGTGCAATTTTAAATGACTAGGCTTTTACATGAATTACACCTTTTATAGGCCTACACACAACATTCTCAAAAGGAAAAAAAAAACTCTTAGAATCATTCTAAATATCCAAAAATAAAACAATGCATCAACTAGACGAATACCACTATCAAATTATATTATGAAGATTAAGTAGTATATTAAAATTACCATAATATTAAGTAAAAACAGCAAGATATTTAACCATCATTAAGATTTTCTAAAGCCACAAAACTATATAGGATGATGAGCACATTGCAGTCTGCCAGATGAAAGTGTAATTTTATTCTTTTTTCTATGCATTCAGTAGTACATGTATTTTCTTACGTAACAAAAAATCTTAATTCTGAGACCACAGAAGCACATTCTCCATCCTGTTGAATAACACCTTTTGCAGATAAAGCAAATATTAGTGTTAAAAGTTAGGGATTATATTTCTAGTCAGAACTATTCCATACCAAAATAAATTGTTTTAACACATAACAATGATAAAGAGTAACTAAAATGCATGTGCTTTACAAAACTCAGCATCAAAGGAAGAATTTTCATTAAATTTAACGTACTTTGGGTTGCTTAATTAAGTCTAGCAAATCCTTTACTTGATGTCGGAGGAGATTTTGACATTTCCACATTTCATTCAATGCTCTGAAAAAACACAAACATACAGATTTAAATAACAAAACAGGATAAAAATCATTCCAGAATATTCCAACTATATTACTTTTAAATCCAAATTACAAAAGGAGATTAACAGAGATGAGGTAAAATTCATACGACCAAGCAACTGATGATGTTATAGAAGAGAGGCTCAGGTATCATAGATAATATTTGATAACTATATGAAAAGAAAGGGATTGTGGTGACTTTTTTTTTGGTATAAAAATAGGAAAGGATCTATCATTAACTGGAATATTTTTGTAGGTTCACCCACGTGTTAACTATAGAAATATAAACTAATGATGGAGGAAGGTCTTGTAGTAGGCAGGATGAAAAGGACTCAAAAACACAAACAGAAAATAACCTTGAGAAACTGGGGGTACCTTTCCTGAAACAGTACTTTAATTGCATTTTCATTTTAATCTTGTCTAGAATTATTTGTTATATATGAATATTCATTTTTATAAGACATAATTTCTGCTGTCCTCTTAATAGTTACATTGTTTACAGGCAGAAGTTTAAATTTAAAATGAAATTGGACAGATACTTAGGTAAATATATATCATTAAGAGTTTTACTTTAACATATTTAGAGGAACCATCCTATGAGCTGTTTTAATAAAATTACATTAAGCAGCGAACAATTTATCCTATAAAGTTGTTTTTAGAAAAGAAAAACAAAATTATACAAGTGGAAGCAACATTACAATGGAAAAATACATGCTATTTGGTAGCCTGAATTTCAGCTGTCATTAAATAAATGTAAAAATATAGTTAAAATCTCAAAACTCTCATATTTGTTATCTGTCATTTTAAACATGCAAGTATTTCCCTCTCTAGGGCTTCTTATTTGTATCCAACCAATGTACAAGTTTGCGCCAATTAAAAGAAAAAGACAGTCATCACTGGGTTATGGTCAGAAAACTTCTCATAATGTTGAAAAGAAACTCTCCTCCAATCTTTTACTCCTAATTGGGAAATCACACATTAAACAAAGCAGCACAAAACTGTCTAGAAGAGAGCCTGCCCAATGAAAGAAGATCACAACTAAGACCTCTAACAATACAACTTACTCTTCTTGCTAATGGTTGTTCCTGGAAACTTGGGGAAGTGAAAATTCACACCAAGATTAGTACTGAAGTTTGCCTTATTCTTTTAATAATCAAGACGTTCAGTTAATATATGGGCTTATCCAAAAACTACTACATGCTAAAAAAGTCTAATATATAAGGAAATATTCTGTCTTCCCCAAAAGAACCTAGGCAAAGAATAAAATCTAAGGTTCTTTCTGTAAATAAGAATCCTTACCAAGCATGCTCTCACCAGAAATCCATTTGCTAAATAGCTATTTTTAAGTCCCTTTCAAACTATTTAGAGGTCACAAATTCAAGTAACTTCTGGGTTAGAATGGTAATATAAATATATGAAGTATGAAATGTATTACAATAGTGATGAAGACTGTGGTGAAATTTAGAAACACTGACTGAAAACTTCAATATTATTAGTATTCAACAAAATAAAAGATGAGATAAAACTTAATAACCAAAGATTCACAAAAAGGTCTGATAGTGTTTAAGAATGTAGAAATTTACAAAGTGTGCAAGTAAAGATTAGTCCAATTATATGTTGGAAAATAATTTGACACTCATTTTGCAATGTTGAAAACATGCATGTTTAGCAATTTCATACCTAACTATGCATCAGTGATTTCAAACTTTGGTTATCCATTAAAATCTACTGAAATGTTTTTCTAAAACTCCCAATGCCCCAACTATGCACTGAATTAGATTATAATCTATAAAGTGAGACTCTGATGTCAGTAATGTTTAAATGATTTCAGCATGTATCCAATTTGATGACCATTATACCTTAAGATGTATACAATTTGTATATACTAAACTGAAAAACATTCATAGTAGCATTAGTTATATTAATGAAACAACACAGATGTCCATTCTTTCCAAACTTTCAATGTCAAAATGGTGAAACAAAATTGTGATAGGATGACACAATGCAATTCTATACCACAGTTAAAATGAATGACTCACAAACAATATGTAGTACTGATAAACTTCAGGGACATAAATAAAGTTGGGGGAGCAAGGGGTATAACAAAGCAACAGAAGACTTTGCCCACAATTTTTCCATGTTCATACAAGCTTAAAAACAAGCAAAAATAAATTAATGAGGGAGACACATACATACATCTATACATGTACACATACATATCTTAAAACTAATTTTTTAAAGAAAATGATAAACACTAAATTAAGGCTTGGGGTTTCTCTGGAAAGAAGTGAGGAGAATAAAAGAGAAAAGCTCACAAGCTGGGTGGTAGACTCATAAATACTTTTATTTTAGAACTATGCTTTGAAACTCACATATATGTGATCTCTTTGTGTGCATTAAATATTTCATAATAAAAAATATAGATATTTGGAGAAAACAATCAGATAAGTATAAAGTATAAATTAGACTTATAAATTAGACTTATAAAATCTTGATTAAGTATTTTAATTTAAACATCCATTCACTCACCACCCATTTTTGCAGAATCAAGTGGTCCACAAATTGGAATTTACCTTCAACATATATCGGTGACATTATTTGTTAGTCTGTCTATCGTGATTAGTATTTTTACTTTTTAATTCAATAAAATATACTTGTTGTTTAAGAGATGATAACCTAATGAAAGTTTTATGATTGCTATTTATTTCATTTTCTTTTTATAATTATTTTTCTTTCCTTATTTTCTTTATTATTTTTGGCATTAAAGTTTAATTCTTCATTCGTGTGATTTGGGAAGTTATACATTTTAACACTGTTTATTTAGAGGTGACTCAATTTTCTACTACGGTCATATTATTTATAGTCTAATCAACAAATTTCTCTTCACTGTGTTATAAAAGAACCCTGGAACACTTTAATGCACATTATTTATCTCTTATATAATACTATCTGATGGGGTCTATCAAGTATTCCATTTTTCTTTCCCACAAAGGCACACCACCAAGCAATCAGAAAAACTGTCAGCAAAAACGATGCTACAGAGGCCCTCTACTGTGTCCAGGCATGGAAGGAATGCTAGAGAAGTTCCCCAGGGACACTCAAGAGAACTAGTTAAGTATCAGCCTAGATACTGACTTGCTTTTTTAGCCCATACTCCCATCACTTGTAAAGAAAATTAATAAATTTAAAAATGTGTAAAATTTAAATTGTTAAATTTAATGAGACATTTACAAATATTTAAGGTATTATTGAGATCAACAACGGTGTTTTAAAAATATTGCTTTTTGCATCACCCTATCCCTTCCTATTGTCTCTGATTTCCTTTTTTGGCAAAGAAATTCTTCTTCATTGATCACTTCAAATAGGATCTGTAAGTGATGAACTCTCACTTTTTGCTTAAAAGTGTCTTAATTTTATTTTTGCTCCTAAACGACAGTTGAGCTGAGTCAAGAAGTCCAGACTGACTGTGATTTCAAATAGATTGTTTGAAATAGGAAACACATATCATATCTCATCCATTCTAAAAGACCATCAATTGTACCAAAAAGGGTACATTTCAATTCCAGAGATATTAGCATGTGAAAACACCATGTTTTAAAGTCAATTAAATATCACAGCATTATATTTTACTATATGAAATGGGAAAAGAATAAGCTTTAGAATCAGGTAGAATTGAATTCAAATCCTGGCTTTGTCTCTTAACTATTTGTATGAGTGAAGCAACTTCCTGGGATCTAGTCATCATGTGTAAAACATGATGGAAAAATAGCACTTTTACTACCTTTGGCAAGCTTTCTTTTCAAAAGGGCAGACAGTAAGTATTTTAAGCTTTGTGGGGCACATGGTCTCTTTTGAAAATACTCCACTGTACCACAATAGCACAAAAGCAGCAAAAGACAATACATACTCCTATATATGAAATACAGCAGGTATCAAGAAATGACATTTCCCCTCCCTAAAACTTTTCCTTAACATTTTTATGGAAGATCTAAATAGCAAATATAATAATTTCTATGGGGATTTTTAGTGAAAATGTAGTATATATACAGGTTGACTTTCAGTAATGCACACCTGGAATTTGTATAATGCAACAGTACATCAATTAAAAAAACAAACAAAAAACAGTAATTTCCATCAGGGAAGTAAAGCTAAAAGTCCCATTAAGAATGAATAAAAATTATATATAGCTCTTTAGACTTTCAATTACTGAGCATTTAACTCCCAATAGTTATAACTACATTTGCTGGAATTTTAAGGAAGTACATTTCCTAAAACCAACAGCAAATCAAGCTCTAGGCTTCAGTTTCCTAACCTTAACATGATTTAATTAATAATGATCTTCCACGTCCAAAATGCCAGTTCCCTACTAAAGCACCCAAAATATTTTCCAACGGAGGAATGGTCATAAAATTATATTTGTGCTTGCTGGTATACTACTATGTTGAGGTTATGCAATACAAAAATTTTTACCCTACTGTCCTATAAAATATAATTCATATCAATATCAAGTGAAAATGAGAAAGGTAGTACTTTCATAATATGGACCTCTCTAATGGTTTGAAGAAAAGTAAGCAAAAAATACAATATTTCTTGAGACAACAATTTGAAAATCTGGAGATAGAAAAATCCAATTCTAAAAGATTGCAAGTCAACCAGCTCTACTTTTTAATTTCTTACAAAAATTGTTGTTATTCTACTATTGATAGCAGTATTTAAAAAAAAAAACTAAGTTTTTTATTGTGTCTGACAATTTAAACAATGTTTACATTTCATAAATTGTTAACATTTAAAAATAAAGTTGTGTAATTTTTTCCCAAATTCCAATATACTGCAGAAGATGAAAAGAACAGAGTTCAACATTTGAAACATACTTCACAGCATTTAAATCCAGTGTGGCATACAAGTAATATAAGCACTTCATTCGTTCCGTAGTTTCCAAATTGTGGGGAACCATGTATTGAGCAAAGATTCGTTCAACAAGAAGGCTATAAAAAAAGAACAGAGAAGGTATTGTATTGTCTAAATATGTATTAAATTTGTATATAAAATTTCAAAACACAAATGAAAGAAATTTCTGCTTTCTGAGATGAAGTTTCCAATCAAAGATTTCTTTCTGTAAGGGGGGCCAAAAAAATAAAAGGATTTAGCTGGATTAGGAAACAGTGACATATCCAGCTATGGTAAAAATATGTATACACACACACATCCATATATACACACACATCCATATATACGCATGCATACACGTGTATGCATACATACATGTGTGTGCATGTGTATGTATGGGACCCTATTTCTTTATATAAATGATAAAGGATGAAAAAACTATAACTGGGCCCTGCAAGAAATTCTAGACATGTACAAGTTAAAACTACAAAGAAATTGGTATGATTCTTGAGTTTTCATAGTGACCATCAGAAAAAAAAAATTCCAAAAAACATGTCATCAAATCATAATACAAATCTCTAGGCACTGTTGTCACATACTCAAAAGTCCAAAAATTTCAATATTATAAAAATAATAACAATGAAGCTTCTTAGTGTTAACTTAAGGCGCTCAGTTGCTAGTTCCTATAGCTCTTAAAATTGTAAAACTGACCTATACATTATTCATTTTCTCATTATGACATTTTGGCAATGTCATTTGGATCCCACAAATAATTTGTCAAATCCATTCAGACAGCAAGCAAGAATTACAGGTGTGGGCCTCCCTGGTGGCGCAGGCAGTTGAGCGCAATGCTGTGAAGCTGTCCGCAGCCTCTGCAGTGCAGGTTCAATTCCCGCCAACCTCGGAGCAGCCCACAAGGTGAGCAAACCTCTCCTGTCTCATCCCCTGCTCCCCTCAGCAGCGTATTTCGTCAGTCTGCCTGTTCTGTTCCCCACTCTGTCTCTGGTGAATCCTCTCACCCTCCCGTGCATCTGGCCTGTACCCCAGCTCTTGTATAAATAAAAATAAATCTTTAAAAAAAAATTACAGGTGTGATTAACTACTACATGGTTAGGATCTACATAAGCTCTAAACTTACAATGGAATAGAAAAATACTCAGATCATATTCACATGTGGGTTTTTTTTTTTAAGATTTATTTTATTTACTTATGCATAGAAAAACTGTGTGATGTACTCCAGAGGTGCGGGGGTGAGAGGATTCACCAGAGACAGAGTGGGGAGCAGAACAGGCGATTTACTGAAACATACAGCTAAGGAGAGCAGGAAACAGGAGAAGTCTGCTGCTCCATATGTGGGTTAGTCCCTAGCTGGGGGTGGAACTCAGGCTGCAGCAGTAATAGCACTGAGACTTAACCTCTCCCTATGCCACCAGTGAGGCTCCTCACATAATGTGTTCTATAAAAATTTATAAAATGCTGTTTTAGCCTTGAGTTAGGAGTTATGTTTATTAATATCTTTGTCCAACGGGTTTCTTTTCAATGAAAAATTAATAGGATCCTTACAACACAATTACCTAATGAAATAAAGTTTAAATTATAATTACACATATCCCATTTCTAAGTATTACTCTGTTCAAAAATAGTACATGAAAATGAATATATAAGCTTTAACCATGCCTGAAGGTATATGCACAATATTGCTTCATTTATGACTTTTGGTGGGAAGGAAACTAGCGCCTTATTTTCAGTAAAAACTGAGGAGGGTGTTTAAAATTATAAAGAAAATAGTTTGCCTAAAACAAGAGATCAGCAACAATTATCAAAACCAGTAAGAATTTTCTATATAGTGTTCTTAACTTACCGATCATCAATACTATTTTGATAATATATATGTAGCAATTTGTCTTTGATCCATGAAATCTGTTTTGCAGCATCTTTTCCAGCTGCTGATTGTAAAGCATATTTCTTATAAATTTGGGCAAGCCCCATCATGGCTTCTTTGCGCACTCTCCACTTAAAATAGAAACAAAAATGGTTTCTTAATATTTAAAAATGCTTCCATTATATAATAAAGTCATGTTTTCTAGTTATTTTTAATTTATTTTACACATTATACTTTTATCAAACCTCAGGCTATCACTTTTAAATTACTATGTGAAAAAACAAGTATAATTTACTAACTATATGAAGTATAGCTATATCATCATACATATATAACAAATTTTAATGCTTTCATATCATCATTAACCCCTAAAAAAAAATCCATCACAATCTCCATGTTGTCATTTAAAATTGGTGCAGAAAAAATGCTATCAAATTTTAGAAGGCAAACATGTTAACTGAATGAACTGTGATGTCCCTTATAATTTTTTTCTAAATATTGGTCTATATTTTAAGCACACTTGTACTATGTCAATAATAATATTAATTCAAATATATTAAAGGCATTTATGACATTGGCTTTATCAACTGTTGAATGTAAAGACACACTGGAAGTTCATTTATAACTGGAAATGAAAATCAAATATAATAGGAATGTATTCAACTATTGCTGAAATAAAGGGAGTATTTGTTATAGTATAGCTAAACTGATAATTATCTTTGAATGAATTTGTTCTTTAATTTTACATAACACAGTCCTATAATCAGGATGGTTAGTAATGTTTATAACTTCAAATATCTGCACATTTCAATTTTCTTTTGTAGTCTATCATGCATAGCAATATACTACACTTGGTTTTTCAATTAATTACCGGAGACTTAGAATAACCTTTATCACATCATTCACCACATTTATACTGATATAAAGACTCTGTAAAAGACTTACTCATAAAATACGAATTCATTTTGTTTGTAAAAATTTCTCTCTCTCACCCTACCTTATCTCTAATTGCCCAAACTGCCGCTTTAAGGAGAATTTAAACATAAAGCATATTTTATACTGCAAGGAGTCCTCCAATGATGAGCAAAAATATGTATGAATTATAATCCCAACAGTACATAAACACTTAAAATCAAATTCCAAGTCTAACTAGTAAATAGATTACTTGAACAGAAAGCTGTTATCAAACCATTACGCAAATCTTTTTCTTTCTCTGTATCTTTGGATCTTTTCAGGTATAATACCCTAAGTGAAATACTGAATAAAAATAATCTAAATTTTCTGAAAATAAGTTGTTCTGAATACCTGTATATTAGAAAGGAAAATCATGCAATGCTGACCAATCTTTTCCCACCTACAACCAACATTATCAAAGAGAGAATTAAATAATGGACAGAGTACAGTCAACTTTGTAAGACACTTTTAAAATAATATAAAGCATTTACCTAGTCAAAATTATTTGGAGCTACAATAGGCTTCCTACTTTCTTTGCTAATTAACCCCTAAATACCTCAAAGATTTTCATCCTTTACCAAAATTATTTTTTAAGGCAATAAACTTCATATTACAGAAGCAATATATTCCAAGTTTCAAAGGTCTGACAGTGCTGGTAGATTATCTTTCATCAATAGAAGAATTTCAAACTCTACAATCTTCTGCCAGTTAAGAGTGTCATTCACTGGTTTCAGGGGCAATCTATATAAAGGCAGGTCATGCAGATACTGAAATGCTGGATTGAAAAAAATGTGCAGTGAGGCCTTGTACACTGTTAAATTTGCAATGTTTTGGATGATAGAAGGGACATTCCATCTTCTTCCAAGCAGAGAAGTAACAAGCAGAGCAGATTACTAGGTTATACGGGTGGTGTAACTACTGGTCTGGGGGGCAGTTTTGGAATTCTACTCATATGAGTGATGGAACAATATAGTTTAGTCCACTTTACATCATATTTATAATTCAGATGAACAATCACCTTTTAGCAAACTTAAAATAGGGGAAAGTTTCACAAAGTGAAATAGGATAACAGTAAGCACACTGATCCCCAGTATATAGGTAAGCAATACTGCAGACTCCATTAGTTTTTCTGGTTTCTGCAGCACACTCAGTTCACTCATCTCAGCTTGACTGATCTGCAGTTTCTGCCATTACTGGGTCAATTTGCAGTCAGGATAAAAAATGTCTCTGTTAAGTTCCTTGACTTTTTTTTTTCCCTTTATGTTATCTCATTTACCCCCCAACCCCTTCTTTAATGAGGACACTTGTTCTGGGAGTCCTGCTTCACCCCTTGACTATTTCCGCTAGCAATTCATTTTGAAAAGTGCAAATTCTGGGAGCAACTGAAGTGTCCATTTCTCTGACACTGCAGATTAGTTTAATTTTGCTACAGATTGCTGAACTTCAAATACTGCCTTCAAAATAAGATTGCTAGATTATTTAGAAGGTGGGAAAAAAGGTCTCCTTTCAGAGTTTGCTGACATTGACACACTGATGGAAGATGTTCCTTGTCCGGGACCCATAATCTTCACCTTCCTCCTTTTCTCTATCATGACTGAATTTTTTACTTAAACAACTGAACTTAACCACAGACCACTTTCTCCTCCTAACACTTTCTTCCTCAATACTTTTTTTCTGGGCCTCCCCTGGTAGCGCAGGTGGTTGAGCGCCGTGCTGTGAAGCTGTCCGCAGCCTCTGCAGCACTGGTTCAATCATTGCCAGCTAGCAAGAGTCCCATATGGCAAAGTAGACCTCTCCTGTCGCGCCCACTGCTCCCCTCAGCATTGTATTTCGTCACTCTGCCTGTTCTGTTCCCTGCTCTGTCTCTGGTGAATCCTCTCACCCTCCCACACATCTGGCCTGTACCCCGGTTCTTCTATAAATAAATAATACTTTTTTTCTGAGTTCAGTGAAGAAGGGATTATGAGTTTCTTCTAAGCAGCTAAGCAATTTCTACATCACACAAATGTCCTGTTCATATACCCAGCTGTTTTGTGTACCAAGTGGGCTGGCAATATGAATTCTGTTAGGCTGCTATTGAAACTGTAACCTATTTAATTGAATACCATTATCTGCATTTCATTGCAAGTGGCTGATAAATTTTAATAGAAGGGCAAGAAGATATGTAAGTATCACTGCAGGTCTTTTCTAAGATAAGGGATTCTCCTGCACAAAATTCAGTTCTTCATTGAGATCATCTGGTTCTGGCATAATACAAATCACATCTTCAGAGGATTCTGGCTACCTCAGGGGCTTTACTGCTGACATCAGTTGAGTTGCAGTTCTATGATCACAACTCTACCTTACATTAGTGGTTGTCTGCTCTTAAGAACTTATAAAAACTCTGGAATCTCACTTTTCATGTCTAGTGCTAGAAACTGCAAAAAGTAGCACTGAAACTTGTTGCCTTCTCTCCTGTCAAGTAAAAATGCTCTTATCTGAAAGTATATTACTATTAAAGATGCTGGTATTAGAAGACTTTAGACTAGGTTATAACAAAGTCAAGTTTATCTAATATACCACGAGGCCCTATGGTCAATAGAACTGCATTGTTCCCTAGAAATAGGGAAAGTTCCTCTATTATATGACCCAAACTTGTCCTATTGATGACCATCACCAAAATGCACTAAACATAAGCTCCCAATTTTAGCAATTTCCCCTTAACAGTACACCAGATCTTGCAGCTGATTGCTCCTGGCCAAAATTACTTTTAAGTTCAAGTCAGCAGAACCAAGAAAAGACAAGGAGCAGGGCGGGGGTGGGGGGGGGGGGTAAGGCGTGGGGAGAACAAACATTCACTGAAACACTAAGTGACTAATACTATTCCAGGAAATACAAAATAAAAATGTAACAAGACATGGTCCTCTTTTCAGAAGCCACTGATTAATGAGTTGGGCTAGTGGGTGCTCACTAAAAAAGAAATGCAAGAAGACAAAGAATATAGAGTACAAGTATACTGCTCTGTTGGGTTTACTTTTGCCAAGCTGAAAACATCTTTTATCTTCTATTCTAAGGAAATAACAACTCAGAAAGCTATAGGATCACCAAGTGATAAGCATAAAAGGGAAAAGAGAGCCAACAACAAAAGAGAAGTTGTGTCAGAGCTATTTTACAAAATAGGTGAAACATTATAGTTATGGGTGAAACCTCTTACCAACATTTAGAATTATCTCATTTTTAAAATTAGAACAAATAACCTTAATAAGGAAAAACTAAATAAATTTAGTATAACAGAAATAAAACTTCGTAAATGTTACCTTATTTGTTAAAATGTTTCCCCCCAGAAAAGGGCTGATAACATTTAACTCTCAATAATTTCAAACAAAATTCACTGAAACTTTAAGTACTCAAAATGAAAACACCTACTAGTAAATAGTATTCCTACTTACCCGTTTGTCTAGTGTTCGCTCTCTCACAAAATTAAGCAAGTGATCATTGACCAAAAGAATGTCCTTTTTAGCAGCTGTAACTATAGACACAATAACATCATGTCTAATAGCTTCCTCGGGGTCATGTGATCTCACTTTAAGATACTCTGAAACATAAAATTTTGATTAAAATAGAACCTTATTAAAATGTTTTATAAGACTGTGTAAGATTTTTAAAAGTAATCTGCAATAAAAATAAAACCTAAACAGAAAATTTAATGTTTCAAGAAAATCGGGAGGGAGGGAGGGAGGGAGGAGGGAGGGGGAGGGAGGGAGGGAGGAGGAGGGAGGAGGGAGGGAGGGAGGGAGGGAGGGGGGAGGGAGGGAGGGAGGAAGGAAGGAGGAAGGAAGGAAGGAGGAAGGAAGGAAGGAAGGAAGGAAGGAAGGAAGGAAAGGAAGGAAGGAAGGAAGGAAGGAAGGAAGGAAGGAAGGAAGGAAGGAAGGAAAATAAGTAGTTTGGTCAAAATACAGTAGTTCAAATGCAGCTATGTAGTATATCCACTCCCCATCTGGAAGCACAGCAGTTGATTAAGGAGTTCCAAATAAACAAGATAAATGAACCAAGAATCAACATTAAATATTTCACTTTTGCTTTTTTAAAAATGGTTATATAGTTAAATGATTCTACTGGAAAAAAATCTAGAGTATTTAAGTTTCTATCTCTTAACTGGGGAAGCCCTAACAAAGCCCTTAGAAGTTACTGGAAGAATAAAATTAAGATATTAGCTGCCCCAAAACAAGATTATAGTAAAGCCATAAGATAATACCACTTAACTGACCAAGAAAAGCCAAAAGTAAAGATATAAGAAATCAAACATTTAACAATTATGAGTGGTTAAAAAATGATCTTAAAGTATAAATATGCGAATTAAGATCTGGCACTGAGAAAGCTGACATGTAATTAACAATCTTCAGTAATGATATATTAGGCTTAAGGAAGAACTACCACAACTGAATATAAAGTTAACAAGCAAAATATTATTCAGCTTTTTTTAGCTGAGATAGTATGATAAAATTTCTTTGTTAGGATTTGGATTAATATCATCATACATATGCACACCAAACAGTGCTTATGGTTGTGAATGAATTTACTTCTCTATAAATTACCAATTTGACAAATAATTATAAAGCTAACATCCTTAAAACCACAGTCCAGATGCTCAGTTCCTCCCTGAGCATTCATTACTAATAGTAACTATTTCATTTAAAAAGAGAAAGACCATATGTTGCTTTAAAAAACTTCTGAAGTGGGCCTCCCCGGTGGCGCAGCGGTTGAGCGCAGGGCTGCGAAGCTGCCCGCAGCCTCTGCAGCGCAGGCTCGATCCACGGCCACCGTTGAGGGTCCCACATGGTGCACAGACCTCTCCTGCCCTGCCTGCTGCTCCCCTTGTTATAGGACAGGGAGAGGGGCAGCCCAAAACCCCGCAAACCTGCCTGTTCTAAATGGGTTCTGCCATCCGCCACATCAACACAAAACATATGAGACTTTAATGGGAAGGAACTTTAATAAAACTAGGAAAAAATACAGGTAAGGCAAAGAGTCTAGTTTCTAAATGAAGCACCCAAAGTTACCTGTCCCCTCGTGGGTAAAACTCTATCCATATGGGATCGGCCCAGAACAAGGCCCAAAGCCTGCCACAAGTCTAAAGCATCTTCCAGTGGGGACCCACAGAAAAGGGTCAGAAACAACCAGACAAGCCCGGAAGGAAAAGAGCAAAATCAACATCAAGATAAAAGCTGCCATTGTCACCTCCCCATGGGTTTCACCCACATCTGTGTCACCCCGTCCACGACCAAAAGACAAGCACAGTTTCTTCACGTGTCTCTAGGCTCCATGCGCCTCCTCCAGGTCTCCTGGCTCCATCCTGCTTCCTTCCTCAGTCTCTTCTGCAGCTTCTCCTCTCCCTGCTCAGCTCCACCCTTCCTTGGGAGGGGCAGGGAACCTCCCCCTTTTCTGGGGACCACCCTGTTGCACCCTCAGCAGTGTACTTCAGTCCTTCTGCCTGTTTTGCTCCCCTCTCTGGCTCTGGTGAATTCTCTCACCCTCCCGCACTTCTGACTGTACCCAGTGCTTGTATAAATAAAAATAAAAATAATAATAATAATAATAATAAACTTCTGAAGAAACAGAAATGTTATTTCACTTAATTCAATAAGGAAAGCTAGTTTTAGTGTTGATTTCAAACAACCTGTTAAATATGTCAAATTCATTTTGCCACCAATATAAATATAAGATTTTTTTCCACTGTACTTATTTCAAATGCAATATATATTTTAACTGCCACTAAGAAAGATTAGTGACATACCATCAATTTTAAGATGTATCCCATGTCCTTCAAGTAAATTATCCCATGCCTTCAAGGCATACACAAGCACTACTAACTCACAGGTATTAATTGTGTGGAAGGAGGCAAAACAGGAAAAGAAGAGATTCTCAATGGTTAGCATGACAAAGCATCTAATAACACTCTTCAGAATATGTTTCTCTCTCAAAACTTGGCTGAACACAGAGGCTGAATCTCACAACACAGCCAAGAAAAGAAATAAGTGTGTGTGTATAACACATTATCTAAGCTCACTCCTGAAATCCTCAGAAAATGTTTTTGTTTTGTGAAAGAAGTAACAAGACATCATAGCAAAAGAAATTTTTTCTTTTTGCTTTTTGCAGATGGATGACTGATAAATGCCAGAAGACAAAGGAAAGGGAAGAAATCCAAAAAGGGGGGGGAGGGGGACATACATACAAAAGTTCATCTCCAGGGTAGAAAAACCCTGAAAATGTTTAGGAATTCAAGGCGACATGCAATGAGAAAACCAGAGAGGAAGACTAAAGCTGAAAGCATGAAGAGTGGTTAAAAATTTTGCATAAAGAGCAGTTGATACCCATAAATTTTGCAGAACTATCTTGTAGCCAATTACAAAAATTAAAATGTGCTCCAAAGACTAGGAAATCACCTAGCACAACAACATAAATGTTCTATAGAAAATAAAATTCTATATAAACTTTTTGGGAAAGCAAAGCATTCAAAACAATATTAAGGACTGAAAAGGTTAAGTGGAATTATTACATCAAAAGTATATTGCAGATCACTACAATAAAATCAAAACATCTACCTATTATTTCCCCAACAGTAGTCTTCTATGAAGTTGTGACTACTGGAAAAAAAATACCTTCTCTTATACTTTAAGAAGGGATCGAAATATGCACAGAACCACTACAAACCAACAACCAAAATATTAAACAAATCAAAAAAAAAAACAAGTCAATGAAAAAGATGGGTTTTTATCAATATGCACATAAAAAGAGGATCAAGGTCATTAGTTATCAGGAAAATGCAAATTAAAACCACAATAAAGAAGCAAGATTTAAGAGAATGACTAAAGTCAAAAAGAATGACAACACAAAATGTTGGCAAGGATACTGAACAACTAACTCTCAAACATGTTTGTGCAAGTGGAAATGGTACAACTAACATGAAGAATCTAGTCGTATCATAAATGTCTACCGTGACCAGCAATTTCACTCCTAAGTAGTTCCAAACAGAAACAAAAACATAAATCCACCGAAATACAATATATAAACAAGAATGCCAGAACACAGCATTCTTAATCATAATAGCCCAAATGTAAAACCCAGATAGCCAACAAAAGAAAAAAGGAGTATTCACTGGAGTATTATTATAATGAAATATTCAGAATAAGCCAATAACAGGGTAAATCTCAAAATCATGTTCAGTGCAAGCAACCTCTTAGAGTACATACTGTATAATTCAACAATATATGAAGTCAAATAACAGTAATCACATACAGAGAGGTCATCCTGCTATTCAGAAATGAAGCCCAAGGAATTTAAAGGAATTTAAAAGAATATAATTGAAGACCTAATAGGAACCGATAAAAACTGATAAAAAAGAAAGGCTGCCTCTTCCAAACAATAGTAAAGATTCCTTTATTACTCTTAGTTTTATCACTTTCTACAGCAGTAAAAATGTTAGGTCTACCACAAAGAACAAAAGCTCTATTAAGTCATATATAAATTCTCTTGTTTTCTACATTGCTACTTGTAAAACAAAAATCACATTTACTGAGGTCTGGTTTAACTTAAGTGAAAAACACTAAATAAAAAAGAAAATTCAAAATCTGAAATGAAAGCTGTAAAATAAAATACTGAACTACAGAAAGCAATTCAAGTGTTATAAGAAACCTATAATTGAAGTATTATAAATGATATCATTTTTACTATGTCACTAAAGTTTTTTAGAAAAATAATAAATTTGAGGCCTCCCTGGTGGCTCAAGGGGTTAATTCTCAGCACTGTGAAGCTATCCACAGCCACTGCAGCACAAGTTCAATTCCCAGCCAGGGAGCTGACCCACATGGCACAGCAGACCTCTCCTGTCTCGCCCACTGCTCCCTTCAGAGGTGTATTTCAGTAAATTCGTCTGTTCTGCTCCCACTCTGTCTCTGGTGAATCCTCTCACCCTCCCCACACCTCTGGCCTGTACCCTAGTTCTTGTATGCATAAATAAAGTAAATGATAAAAAAAGAAAAATAATAAATTTAAGACAAAAAATTATTGCATACTTTAAGCATTACTGCATTCTTTAAGCTCCTTAAGAATGAATAATGTGGGCCTCCCCGGTGGCGCAGCAGTTGAGCACTGGGTTGCGAAGCTGCCCGCAGCCTCTGCACCACCGGTTCGATCCCCAGCTGCTCCCCGGCCACCGGAGGAGGGTCCCACATGGCGCGCAGACCTCTCCTGCCGCCCGCTACTCCCCTCAGCAGTGTACTTCGGTCCTTCTGCCTGCTCTGCTCCCCGCTCTGGCTCTGGTGAATTCTCTTGCCCTCCCGCGCTTCTGACTGTACCCAGTGCTTGTATAAATAAATAAATAAATAAATCTTTAAAAAAAGAAGAATGAATAATATAACTAACATTATTTTTAAACATATCACACCTAAATACCTTCAAGAACTAATCCATAAGAAGGACACGAAGACAGAACAGACCACAGGAAAGAAAAAAATTAACCTATGGAAAGCAAATCAACAAATATAACTTTGGAGTCCCCAGAAAGTAAAATTCCAAGCTACTACAGGGAAAGTTAGTGAACCAACCCAATATACACTATACATTCTTCAAAAGGTCTAGAAACTGGTAACAACTATTTCTGAATCTTAACAGAAGGGACAGATGTAAGAGTGGGTGAAATTTCTTTCAGAAAACTCAGCCACACATCTAGGATATCCCTGCTTTACAAAAAAACAAGTCCGAAATGAACTCTATGAAAAACATAAAATATAATTCTATGGAAAAATGTATAATAAATGTCACCTCTCTAAAGTGGGGGATACCAAAAACAGCTGAGGACATGGATACTACTACAAAGGGAGATTATGTGACAAGACCCAAAATGTAAATTCAGAAGCCCATCAATCTTTTCCTAAAGACATTAGCTGCTAGACTCTCAAACTCCAGATAATCTTCTCTGGGAAATCTGACAAAGCAAAAAAGGAAAGGTTCTCCAACAAACAGTCAAGATTTCAAAGTAGTAGAAGCAACTCTGAGAATGGCCCATATCAAAAAGAAGAAAAACAAGTATTGGCAAGAATGTGGACAAAAAGGAACCCTCACACACTACTGATGGGAAAGTAGACTGATCCAACCTCTGTGAAAACAGTATGGAGGTTCCCCAAAATATTAAAAATAGACATACCATATGATACAGCATTTCCAAACCTAGATATCTACCCAAAGAATGCAAAAACACAAATTTGAAGGGATATATATATATATATATATATATACACTCCCATGTTCACTGAAGCACTATTTACAACCCAAGTTCTCAACGAAAGAGAAGATTAGAAAAATGGAGTACATATACACAATGGAAGACTGTTCAGTTATTAAAAAAAGATAAACTCTTGTCATTTGCAACAACATGGATGGAATTGGAGGGAATTATACATAGCAAATAAGTCAGAAAGAAAAAGATAAATACCAGGTGGTTTCACTTATATGTGGTATAGAAAAACAAAACATAGGGTCAGGCAAAGCCAAACCACTAATAAACCCTAGGAATCTGATTGTAGAATTGAGGCTACCAGAGTGGGAGATGAAGGGTGGAGAAAAAAGTTGCAGAGGATGCCCAATGGACTATGGGCACCTGGTGGTGGGTGTGTTGTGGTACCATACATCTGAGGGATGTGGTCCTGTATCTCTCAAGCATATACAGATTTATAAAACAACCATCTTTTTGAAAAAGAACTACTATGAACAAATACTTAAAAAAGGGAGTTAAAAGTGTATTACAAATTAAACTTTTAAAAAGAATAAAAACTAAATAATAAGAAACAATGAAAAATGGGAAGGAAGTATTCAGAGATAGTTTTCAAGGTCCTTATTTGCTCAGAAATAAGCTGAAATTCTGATTAACTTTGGAGTTCATTAATCAATTATGTTCTGAAAGCATGAAAAAGAATGTTAACCATAGCCATGAAAGGAAAAAAAAAAGAAAATTAGTTAAGCAAAAGAGAAAAAAAATAGAAAAATATAAAGATGCAAAGAAGCATGATAAATAGAAAACACAAAATAAGATACAAGGAATAAGTTTAGCTATGTCAAGTTTAAAAAAATCACAATAAATTTCGAAAACATTTATTGATCTATGGAAAAATACACACACGACAAACAGAAACACACGAACAGGATACAAAACAAACTGAGTGGTTACCCTCTGTAGAAGCAGGAAAGAAAATCATTTGTGAGGGGCATTTCAACTAAGTATTTTTTTTAATCTCTTAAATATGGAAAATGTTAGCTTTTCTCAAGAAGACATGGTAGCTGTTATTCCTCTGTATTTCTGAACTATTTCATAGTTGAAAAAAATAAACAGAACAGCGACAGATATGCTAATTACTACAAAAATTCAAAGTTCTAAATTGCCTGACACGCTTACACAGATTTCAGAACAGTCACCTCCACTAAGCAGTTAGTTTACAAATCAATAACATTCACCTAAGTTTTCAAAATATTAAAGGATGTTAACTCTTATAATCCACTCAATGCCAATACCTACTCAAATCCAAATGCCTGAAGTGTTTTAAAAATTGTCCTTAAACTAAAAAACTAGTATTTTCTAATAGCAACTTTATAGGTGTTCCTCTAAGTAGTTACTAGAAAGTAAAATTTCATCTTCAGAGTGTACCTCCCACAATAATGAACTGAAACAAAAAAACTGCACCTATCATAAAAACCTGAAAAGTGGGACAGGTGAGAGAGGGTGTAAGGAGCAGCTTCTTATATATATAAAATCAAATTTTTTCACACAGATCATCTAGGAATATTTGCTATTAGGGCTACACAGTTACCTGTTAAGTCCTTTGCTAAATCAGGATGGTTCATGAGACAATGACTTGCAAACTTCACACATTCCAGGCGGATTGGTACATGGATATCATTGAATCTGACAAAACAGAAAGTTTCAGAGTAATCTTTAAAGTAACAGAAACATATATTTAACCAATCTATACTTTTTTTCTAGCCAAAAGAAAAATTAATGTGTACAGGATAATCCAAAGTGGAGTCAGATTATTTAAAGAAAATTTTTGGTACTCCACATATTTATGACACTCTAGAACCTGTATATTAAGCTAGCACAATCTCCTGTGATAACTAAACTATATACTTTTAAGGACAATGTTTAAATAACATGTTTGGCTGAAATGTAAGAATTACAATGAAAAGTTTTTCCTATAAATACTATGCTTTCAAATACACCTATTTTTGTAACTGCATATGCAGAGTTCATACAGACATTATATAATATCCCACACCGTGTTTGGAAAAAAAACTTTTCCTCAAGCTATTCTTTCTTAAATACAGAGCATTCACAAATGTGTGGTACATCTTGCACTAAAACCAGTATGATTTTACATGACTCTAAAAGTGTCCAAATTACTTTTACACAGTTAAACATTAAAATTGTCGTTTTAGGGCCTCCCCGGTAGTGCAGCAGGTTGAGTGCAGCGCTGTGAAGCTGTCCACAGCCTCTGCAGCACTAGTTCGATACCCAGCCAGCCAGGGAGAAACCCACATGGCATGGCAGACCTCTCCAGTCTCACCCACTACTCCCCTCAGCTGTGTATTTCAGTCCGTCTGCCTGATCTGCTCCCTGCTCTGTCTCTGGTGAATTCTCTCACCCTCCTGCACCTCTGGCCAGTACCCCTATTCTTTATAAATAACTAAATCTTGGGGGAAAAAATTATCTTTTTGGACCTGTATTTCCATCTCATTTTTTATTATTATTTGATAAACTGTTTTGTTATTTTATGTGTAGTTTTTCTAAAGTTGAAATTTTGCTAATTACATCATTCTGATGTCAAGTGACAGGATCCCCTCTCCCCCTAAATCTTGAGAATTGCTAGTTAGATCTAGAGATGTGATCATATTCAGGTTCATTTTTTTAGAAAATCTAATTCATAGATGGCATTGTGTACTCCATCAGGAAGCATATTTTGTCTAAGTTGTCTCTAAGCCATAATAGTTCAATATGTTGTATTAATATATAGCATACTGTAAAAAAAAAAAAATGCAACAAGAATTTCAATTAGGATTTTTTTTCCTCCAAAAATAAAGTTTGGGTAATCCAGATTATGAGTCAAAGCTATATTATACTTTTAATACCTTAAATAAAATGGGCTTTAAATTGAGCCACAAAGTTTAAACCCGTAAAATATTTCACCCTTCTGCCCAAAGTGACAATGGGTCAATATTTATTATTACTGTGCTACATACATGAGAGATAAGAAATCAGACCGAAAAATTTAGGGGTGTTAGCATTGAAAAAGGCTTATAATGTCATTTAACAAACTAGAAAAAAAAAGACTAAAAAAGATTAAATTTTTTGGGCCTCCCTGGTAGCACAAGGGGTTAAGCACCGTACTATGAAGCAGTCCACAGCCTCTGCAGCACAAGTTTAATCCCCAACCGGCCAGGGAGCAACCCACATGGCAAAGCAGACCTATCCTGACTCACCCGCTGCTCCCCTCAGCAGTGTATTTCAGTCAGTCTGCCTGTTCTGTTCCCCACTCTGTCTCTGGTGAACACACACACGCACGCACGCACGCATGCATGCACACACACACGCACACATGCACGCATCTCTGGCCTGTACCCCAGCTCTTGTATGCATAAATAAATAAATGTTTTTTAAAAAAATTAAAAAGATTAAATTTTTCTTTTTAAATCATGGACAATAATTCATTGACAGTTTTACAATTTAAATGAAAAGTGTAATTATAACAAGGTAAATATTTCACTACCAAAAAAAAAACAAAAAACAGAACAAGAGTCTTATAAATCCTATTTATTTATAACAATTACATATTTACTATAAGAAAAAATTGGTGGGAGTGAAATCCTCCTTCATGCTGAGGATAAAGGTAGTTTTCAGTAAGGGCCCATGAAGTGGCTTTGCCATATTCATGGTTGGGGGTGTCTTTAGGAAAAACTAATGAAAAGAGAAATATACAAACACACTCAAAAATTTACAAACCAATTTCAGGAGATTTGTGACTAAAAGCACACTGAGAATCCAGATTATCATTTTCTTTAAAGTGAAAAATGATTGAGGATAGAAAAAGGAAGATACAGTGTCTAGTATTTATTCATTCTGTGGATGCCCTTATCCTTGTAGTATTTCCAAGTAATGGAACTAAATACAACTTTTTATGGAGGAGTTGTATCTCACAATAGTGTATTTTCTGTTGTAATTAATCACTGCTATGTAATAAAACATTATAATACTCTGAGACAGTTTTTAGTAAGCATCTTTTTTAAAATTATCAAAGATAAAAGATGAAAAGAAAAAAGGAAATTATAAACATGACAAATCACTATCAGCATTCAAATATTTCAAAATATAAAAACCCTTCATTTTCATGAGTTCAAAAAAAATCCTAAATATGGATAGTGTTTTAAAATAATATAATCAAATACAGACATATGTTACTTTTAAACAGGTCACCAAAATCATTTACCTGCCCAAGTAGCACTGCCAAAGTGGTTTATTTTGAGAAGCCAATTCTGAATCCTTTGCCCCAAACATTTTTGCCAGTAATTTAACAACTTGCAGGCGTTCCTCATTATCATTACTCTAAAACAAAACACAATCACAACTTTAAAACTGTAAGATAGACATATTCAGAATACAAATCTTTCCCATCACTTCCTTTATCCAATTCACAGAAAACCTTTCATGAACTCCACATGAAAAATTTCTTCAGTAGGGACAATAACTCTATTTTATTGATTTTGGTACCTCCAACAAATATCATAATGGTTATATAAGTGAGACAACCACAATACTAAACTTGAATGTTGGGAATATCAAAAAGCTTTGATACACAAGGTACTATGGATGGCACTACACAATATTTTTGAAACCAGTGCCTCAGACTAACATTAAGTGCACTCCTACTTATTTATCATCTCCATTATTTCTTTCATTATTCTTCTAAAAACACTAAGTACTTCTCAAATATGGTAGCACATTACAACAATCTCTAAAGCATTTAAAAACAAAAATAAAAAAAAAATCCTAAAAAATTATTAAGGCTACACAGGTGAGAACCCTAATTTCAGCCAAAGACAATTTAAATTTATTTTATGCTATTGTCTAAGCATAATTCTTCATGCTCCATGAATTCATCCAGTACCTTTCTACCTCTATATTCTTCTGCTGCTTCCTTTGCTTCAATTATATTCTGTTTGTATCTTTTATGACACAATATCTGGCCTCTTATTAGATCTGGATTATTTTTCCCTCTTCCTCACATACTGGATGTTAAATTTGCTAAAAACTGGAATGACAAGTCCTTATTCTTGAATTTCTTACAGTGTATGGGAAAATGCACATAGCAAGTATTTACTCAACATTTTTATTAGAGAAAATCAGGCCAACAAATAAAGGAATAACTGCCTATATCTCATCAAAATTGCTAATTACATGAAAAAAGAGAGGCTAACAACCTAATAGCTCACTTGAGAAACATACCAAATATATACCCCAGAAAAAAATGAGATTATTTACCAGCTTTTTTTTTTTTTTTTTTTTTTTTTTGGGAGAGGGGCTGGGGAGGGCGGATATTTACACTAACAACATGTTTATTTTTTTGTTTTTGAAAAAGACAAACCAAAACTTTCAGAAACAAGAAATACAACATGGAAATTATTTAAAAACTTTTGTGGGATGTACACTGACAATCAAAGATTAATAATTATAACCAGCTTTAATCTTTCGGTAATGATTTAAAAAAAGTATATTCCCAAATCTACAAGTGAAACTCAATTTTATGGCATAATTTAATGTCACGATGATAGGAATACGCTGCCAAAAAAATTCCAGAGAATTTTGAGACAAGGAACGTTCAGCATATGCAAGTATAAGATAATTATGCACAAAGGAAAAACTGTGGGTAAGATCCTAAACTACTTTGATGGCCCAATCAGGGGATATCAGGAACCACTATAAACTGTGTTTTGAAAACAAAAAGCTTGATGGACATTTATGACGTCAAAAGGCAGTCACAACCTAGAATTTATACAGAGAAAAATACCAACCTGGTAGTCATTCATTTAGTACTCCACTAACTATCATGCCAGACATTGGAAATACACAAACAGGAAAGGCACAAGCATATAAATGAGTAACAACAAAATAACCCATCTGTAATATTCAGTTAAAACCACTATAAGAATTTAAAAGACAAAAATAATGTTATTTTCTAATTTGGTTGATACAATCACATTATTTTCAGAATATTACCTTTAATTTAAATTCAAGCTGGGGTAAAACTGAGAGCAGCAAGTGACTATCAATATTGTACAGCTCCAAAATTAAGTCAAAGACATGCTCTGACAAATCACTGATAGATGTTTTCCCAAGCATCAATACCTGATTAAAAAACTTTTGAGAAAGAAAATTTATCATTAGTAGAAACATCACAGATAAAATGAATTTTCCAAAATCTTAGTTACTATGCAATTAAATTATTTCAAAATAGTCATATGTCACAGCTGGCAATCAAAACATTTTCTAACAATAGGTGAACAATCACTACAGGCTATATAAAAAGATTAAAACGGGGGCCTCCCTGGTGGCACAGCGGTTGAGCACTGGGTTGCAAAGCTGCTCGCAGCCTCTGTTGTGCCGGTTCGATCCCCGGCTGCTCCCCGGCCACGGGAGGAGGGTCCCACATGGCGCGCAGACCTCTCCTGCCGCCCGCTGCTCCCCTCAGCAGTGTACTTCGGTCCTTCTGCCTGCTCTGCTCCCCACTCTGGCTCGGTGAATTCTCTCACCCTCCTGCGCTTCTGACTGTACTCAGTGCTTGTATAGATAGATAGATAGATAGATAGATAGATAGATAGATAGATAGATAGATAGATAGATAGATAGATAATTTTTTTGAAAAAAAGATAAAACATGGAATTCACCTTGCACACAATTAAAGATAGGTAATTTGTACTGATTCATCAATTAAAAGATCAACAGACATGCTACCTACTAAATACACTTTATTCTCCACTATGATAGTTACCATAATTTGCCCAGTATTTGTACACATGTATTTCTCTATTAAATTTCTTTTTTAATATACAGAAAAATTTTTAATCTATTTATTGATTTATATGTATTTTACATCATTGTTCATTTTTGTACAATGTACGCTTTCTCCTCTCATAGTCCCCATATTAATTCCCACCACCAATTCACCTGTTCACTATCACTACAGACTCTTGTGCTCTTCCTTCCTGTTCTGATCCCTCTACCTTCCCCTCCCCTGCAGAATGTCTCTGATTTATAGCTGCCTGTTAATTTTGTTGTTTTTTTTTCCCTCCCTGATCCCTTATGCAGTTTCCCTATATTCCTCCTATGAGTAAAACCACCCAATATTTTTCTTTTTCCTTTAGGCTTTTTTCACTGAGCATAATCCCTTCCAGCTCCATCCATGTTGCTGTGAATAGCATGAGATTATCTTTTTTGATTGCTTAGTAGTATTCCATTGTGTATATATACCACATCTTTTCAATCCAGTTATCTATGATAAATTTCTTAAGGCAGGGTAACCTCCTCTTGTTCACCTTAGCATGTATAGGCGACTCTAGCATCTAAGACAAAACTTTGCACCTTCATTATAAGAGCCAACTCCATTTTTTAAATATGCAATTTATATTTTTAACACTCTCTTTCTAATCCTTTTTGACTTCTTTTACATTCCTTTACATTCTGATTATTTTACATATGTACAAAGTTTACAGCACCAATTAAAATCCAATCAAAAGCACACAGAAACACAAGGAAAATCCATGTCTGACAAAATTTTTTTCCTAGCCAGTTTCCATGCTAAGATCACCATCTTACTATCAAAAATGGTAAGACACATGGCATAAAGGTCATATGTTCTACTTAGTGTCCTAAAAATACATTAAAAACTAATCTGAAACATATGTCACATATTCTGAACAGTATCTTCTGTCTCCTTAAATAAAGAGTTAAGGATTCTTTATAACACATAAGCTGATTTCTTTTCCCTGTGAGAGTTAACACATAGTTTGGCTTAATTAGGCCTTCTATATGCAAAGAAAAGTGTCTTTTCTGCGTCCTTTTAACTCTGGGCCATTCATAAACATAGTATTTTTTCTGGTCTATGAATCTTTACAAACTATCTAGCATGAAGAGAACAAATGCTATTTTGCTATTCTTTCTTCACTGATTTTAAAATTAACTTGTCCTTCCTCTTTGCTTATCAATTTTGTTGGAAAAGAATTTCACAATGTTGAGCTTTAAAAATTTTCATTCAGGGTGAAAACAAAGTGACTTTGTTGTTTCTGTTCCCAAATTTTTTTTTTTAAAACTGGTAGATCTATTTTTTGCTAAACAAAACCAAAAATCCTTTCCCATCTGGCCACCTTGGTAATGAAATCATCCTCTTCTTCTATCAGTGTGGGGAAAACTCATTTGAAAATTTAAAAAAGCAAATATCAATCCTGCTTTAACTTCTTACAAATCCATCAAAAACATTTATTTAACACTTATAATCTCCATAAAGGAAATGACCAAATGAGTCTTCTCTACTGTATAACAAGAGCCTAGCACCGTAATTGACAATAGATACCCAATATATATTTAGTAAATTAATAAATAATGTAAAATATATTTAGTAAATCAATAATGTAAAACAATCCATGCCCTTCAGGAGGGCTTACAATAGAAGAGGCAGATGCAGATTTATTCAAGTAGTATGAGTAAGGTAAATTCTACCTTAGAATAAATTCTACCTTAGAAATAAATGGCCAATTTTACTTCCAAAAGAGTTTTTACATATTCTCTGTCATAACCCCAGCATTATTAACCCCAATTCACAGATGTAAAACCAGAGGCTAAGCAAGATTAAGCAAGGGCGGGGGGTGGGGGGTGGTTTGAGGAGAGTCCTATTTCTGTAGAACAAAAAAGAACAGCAAATTACCATAAGATATAAGTCATAGAAATTATTTTATATTAATTTTCTGGAAAAGCTAAAAGTATTTCCTTAGTCTTTATCTTTCTTTTAACTGTTATTGTTAATATTCTCTAATAGGTACAAATGTTGAGAGAATATAGTACAATAAACCTAATTACTGAGCTCCAACAAATACCATTACTTTATCTTAAACTTTTACTTCTTTTATTAGCCAATCAAATATTATTTTCCCAAATCCTAGAGAAGATACATGATGTATAATGCTGTTTTCTTATTTCTGTGGCAGAAAAAGGCACCAAAACAATTTAAGCGTTCCCCTAAAAAACATCTGATTTGGCATTATCAATTTAAATAAATGACCACCAGGAGGAGCTCACCTAGTGGAGCTAAAGGCCCATGGAGATAGACATTGACAGGCACTTGAAGCAATGGAAAAGGGAAGGAGTTATAATTTACAGATTTAAATCTGGGTCTACATCCTTCAAGTACTATTAAGTAAATAATGTAAAAATAACTCAATCCATTCAATCCAGCCAATTTACTCTCACCAATACCCAAGACTCACATAACTTAAAGAAATCAATACAAGGAACTCCCTGCCAATCTTAGAGCTATTTAGATTATAAAACTTGATTCTCCAGCTTTTGTAAATTCCAGAACAATTTATTTACAAATCCAATTTTTCCACATCATCAAATGGCTAGAATCATTTAAAGCTATAAACCAGGAACAAAAGTTGGGATTTATCCATGTACTGTTTTAAAAGTATGTACTTCTTTTCATGATGACTTTTACGTACTTAAATTTTATACTTTAGGAAAATTAAATATGTAAGAAATTATAAAAGGCTTTCTTTCTCACATTTTGCAAGAAGACAGATTTATATCCTATACGTGACTGGAGGTGGGTAAAAGTGGAAAGGAGGTAGAAGGAGAGAACTACTACACAATTCCAGAGGTCAACATTAACAGCGTTCTAGGTTTGTCCCAGGACAAAATAAATTCACATATATTTCATGTGAATGGGGCCATCTAAAGTGGTGTAACTGGGTCCTCCCTGGTAGCATCAGGGGTTAAGTCTATTAGCAGCCAGTGAAGCATGAGTTCAATCCTCAGCCAGGGAGCTAACCCACACAACACAGCAGACCTCTCCTGTCTTGCCCACTACTCCCCTCAGCAATGTATTTCAGTGGATCCACCTGTTCTGCTTCCCAGTCTGTCTCAGGTGAATGAATCCTCTCACACCCTGCACCTCTGGCCTACACCTCAGCTCTTGTATGCATAAATGAAATAAATCTTTAAAAAAAAAAGAAGTGGTGGAATTCAACAGAACTATGAAGAAAAAATAAAACTTACAAAAAGCTTCTACCAGTGAATCTATCAGTTAAAATACATTTCTTCTGAAAATACAAGATGATTAATTATAAATAAGTAGATTTGGAATGATACTGAAACATCTCATTTCATTACAACTCTTCCCCTTTCTCAGAAAAGATGGGTATATATGGAATCTGTCCCAGGGATAATGAGATAAGTAACTTCAACCAAATCATTACCATTCATAACTGCCTTCAATTTCTAGATATTGATATTAATCCTTATCTTCTACCTGTGTATATCAACTTAATTTCAAAAAACTATGAGCAATTTCTCTGAATAATGAAATATATTTGTAGGGTAAAGAAAATGTCAGGCTTTTCTGCCCTTCTGCCATCAGGATAGATGATGGATCCTTGTCCTGAATGCATGCCTGATGGAGGGCACCTGGAATAGGGTGTGGGCATAGGTAGATGGGATTCAGCTGAGCTAAGACTGTGCTTTTAAGGGCAGCGTCACGGGGGGACGCCAGCAGCATCAGTAGCAGCAGTAGAAGCCGAAGCAGAAGCCAAAGAGAAGCCGAGATCACCAGAGAGCCCAGATAGAGTGAAGACTTGCTGGGGGCTGGGAGGCCTGCCAGCCTCCCAGCCCCCCAGCCAGCACCCCAGCCTGCCATATGCCTGGTGAACCCCAAATAAAAAACCTGCAAAACTACTGAGGACTCTGACTCCTCCTTTACCCGGTCTGCATGGGATCAGAAAACCTGCACTGTGTCCTGTTCTGCCTTTACAATATTCCATGTATTTTAGAATTACATTTAACTCTTTCAAATATTATAAAGTATATCTTACTAACCAAAGCATTTACAAAAACAAAATCTGCGAAAACTGGTGGTTATAAAATGGGTAAAAGAGGTGAAGTATACAATGAAGGGTGGAAACTAGACTTATGGTGGAGATCATGATGTGATGAACAGGTGTAAAATCATAATGGTGCACACCTGAAACTAAAACAATGTTATTAACCAATGTTACCTCAAATAAAATGTATTTTTTTTTTAATTTTAAGGTGTTTTAGTTCTTAGGCAATTTGAAAGAAGCAAGTGAATGAAGATAAGAGCTAACCTTCTAGAAAATATTAACCAAAAATAATTTTGAATGAGAAATAAAATATATGATATACACAACACAAAACTTAAAAATATGTACTACTTGCCTAAAATTTGAACCTCAAAGTCTTTAAAATTTTAGCTAATCCTTCTAACAACCAAATACAGGTAAGACTTACATTAGTAATATATGGTTCAATAGCTTGAGCCGTCCTCTTCAGTAAAGCCTTAGCCAAATCATACGCTTGTTTGTTTAAATTCTGAAAAACATAAATATTATCACTATTAAATATCTCTAAGGAGAAAACTAAGATTCAGAATAAAAGGGGGCAAAGTCACTTTTCTTCTCTGAAAACTGTTCTACTAAATCATATGATCCCTTCCAAGCAAAAATAATTATATTCTCTTCATATCTCATTCAGGGCTTAAGATAAAATACAATAAAAGTTAATTAGATGAGACAAAAGACAATTAGTCATCCTAAACTAGCCCCTAAATCAAATCCATTCTATTGAGTACAAATAAAGGTTATTTCACTATAGGTTCAGAGGAACCAAAACATCATAAAAGTGTGAACTGGATCCTAGTGTGGGCAGGAATGGGGCGGGTTCACTGATGAGTAAAATCAAAAGATTTATATTAAAGCAGATCTACTCAAGCACATCTCAGAACATAGGTATACAACAGAAAATAAAGAGTAGAGTATGAAAAGAAAAACAGTGTAAGAAATGTGTTTCTACAAGAACAAAGATCTTCTTTTAAAAAATCACTGTTCCAGTTTAAATATATTAGAGAACAAGAACACTATATATCATGAAACTCATACTCAGTAATTTTTTGTTTAATCTACAGTGATTCTGTATTGTACTACTTCGTCTGTCTCTGTTATTTACCATTTTACTACATAACATACTATTCATAGACATTAAATTATGCCGTATATAGGACTATGAATTCTGATTTTACCAGTTTTCAAATGAGTTGTTCTGTCTTGCTCTTATTTATTTCTAGAGTTTCTAAGTTCTATACTAAATCTTTGTAAATTAACTGTTTCACATATCTATACTTTTTTTTCACAATATTTAAGGTATCTTAAGGCTTTCTCTTTATTTTTCATAAGAAATTCTTCTCTACATTGAAGGTAAGATGTTTTATATTTTAACATAAAAAGTTAAAGACTTGCTTTTCAGTTAGATCTTTATTCTATCTGTAATTTATTTTTATGTATAGTATGAAATAAGAATCTAATACTATTTTCAGGATATTCAGTTGCCCTAAAACCATTCACTAAATAGTCCATTCCTTCCAACAACCTTTAATACCCACACTCTCAAGATTCCATATAATCATGTATCCATTTGTAAAGTCTCCATTAATTCAGTATGCCCCCTTGTCTTTACCGTCTGGTTATCGTAAAAGGGACAAACAGAAACATGTCTTAATACAAGGTAGGATAAGTCCCCACTTTTCTTATTATTCAGAACTGTCTATTATTGGTCATATGTTCTTCAACGTGAATTTCTGAAGCACTTTGTCAAATGACACAGGCACATATTCTGTTCTATTTTAAGCGGATTATCTGCCCATAAGAGCAGACAATCCTCAATGTTGATTAACCTCCAACGTTGAGGAGAAGCTACATACTTCTTCCTGAACAGAAGTAACTTCTCTGAAATGTCACTAAACTCAAAGAAAATGCTCCAGTACTTAATCAAGTATATTGTTATACATATCCTCATCTGTTTAAGGAAATCCCTTTCTATTTCAAATCTCCTAAGAGATTTTATCATACATACATAAAATTTTATCAAAGGACCTTGTCCTACATCTACTGATACTTTTCCTTTGATCTGTTAATTTATGCAAGTATGTTAATCTGTGACGAACATTGTCTAACGTTAATCCATTCTCATATCCCTAAAATAAATCAATTTGCCTCTTACATACTTTATACTATTCTGGATATTACCTTCTGTATTTTATATTGGATTTATGTGACTATACTTAAAATTAAATTCACTTATGATTCTCCTGTCTTGCTTTTGTGCCGTTTCCCTGAAGATTGTTCTGCTCATAAAATAAGTTGTGTTGGAACATTCCTTCCTTTTTTTGTAATTTGGAAAATTTTCCTGAATATTAACAATATATCCCATTTATGTGATGCAAAGAAATCGGTTAAGCTCTTTGGTGGTTGCTTTAAGTTCTGTTGCTTTTCCTTTTATTACTATATTTGATATTATTGTTTAGGAGAAGAGTTTTTGCTTTACGAACATAGTTTTAAAAACCAATTAAAACTTAGTAATTGCATGTTATTCAAGATTTTCTCTCAAGACAAATTTGTCAAGTTTAATTTTCTAGGAATTCTGTCCCATTTCAAATAATTTGTCATAAAGTAAAATAGTTTATAGAATTATCTTTGGATCTTTTTGAAGTCTGCTGTTCTTCATTTCACTCTAAATACTCTTTCTGTATGCCTAACTTATCAAGGGTTTGCCCCTCTTCAAATTACCAACTATGGGTATTTGTGAAATATCACTGTGTTTTCTATTTTATTGATTTCTGTTCTTTATTGTTTTCTTCCTTGTATACTTTATATAGTCTGATGTTTTTAATAACTTCTTAAATGGGACACACTAGTTTATAATTGCCATTGTGATTAATTCTTTTGACAGACTATGACTGTTTTTAGTTTCAAATCTTCAATTTTCTTACTAAGAGTCTACTTGATTGATAATTACTGGGAATGTGTTAAAATGGCCTACCAAATTGTGAGTTTGTTTCTTCTTTATAGTTCTCTCAATTTATGCTTTTATATTTTGAGTCTATGTACCTAAAACTAGACATCATCTTGCAAACTTTTATCACCATATAATCTCTTCTTTATCAATTAAAGGCAATTACAACTAATATTAATATAAACTACTTCAGTTTTCTTTCAGGTAGTATGTACCTGGCAAATCTTTTTTCCATCCTTTTACTTTCAACTGCTTTGTGACCGTTATTTTTGCTGTTATCTCTTAATAATGACCAGCTGGATAATTTTCAATCCAACCTGACAATCTATGTTTAGTAAACTTGAACCATTTATATTTATTGTAATTCTTCCTTTTAATATAATCTTTAAATTTTTTAAATGAATACTTCATTTAAAGTTCAAAATTAATCAACAGTTCCATACACCTAATCATCACTATGATCATATTACTCATTAACTCCATTAAACCATTCAATCATATATTATTTGTATCCAGTGGTTTAGGATCATTTTGTTAATGAATAACTGTTATTACTGCTACAGTTCAAATTTAAAGTATTTCTTTGTTCACCATTATCTGTTATACTTACTTTACTTCCTCTAAATTCAGTTTTCATTATTCTAAATTATTCACATAATTTCTTCAGGAAAGGGTCTGTTGACAAGTGAGTATTTGGTATCTTAACTTCCTTCAAACTGGACATGCAACTCTAGGTTGACACATATTTTATCTTAGCACTATGGAAATACAATTCTACTATTTTCTAGTATCTATTCTTCTACTGACAAGTCAGCAATCAGTACAATCTTTACTCATTGGTAAAGGCTGTGCCTTTTCCCTTTGCATAATTCCTGGGTTGTTTCTGTTCTGGAGTTCTACAATTTTTCCAGGATATACCTGGACTGCTTATTATGTTCATGATACTTTTGCTACCATACCCATATATTTATGCTTTTCATCAGTTTTGGAACATGTCAAGCAAATTTACATTTGAATTATCATTTCTTCTCTACTCTCTACTTATTTTTAAATATTAATCTTGGGCCTCCCTGATGGCGCAGCAAGTTGAGCGCAGCGCTGTGAAGCTGTCCTCAGCCTCTGCAGTGCGGGTTTGATCCCCGTCGGCCTGCCATTGAGAATCCCACATGGCACGGCAGACCTCTTTTGTAGCGCCTGCTGCTCCCCTCAGCAGTCTATTTCAATCGTCTGCCTGTTCTGCTCCCCGCTCTGTCTCTGGTGAATCCTCTCACTTTCCTGTGCTAGCTCTAGCCTATATCCCAGCTCTTGTATAAAAATAAATAAATCTTTAAAAAAAAAAGAAATATTAATCTTTTTTTTATGGTTTCACTTACTACCTTTCGTTTTCTTTTTATCTTTACCTCACCGAGTCTCTATTAATTTTCTCAGCCCTACCTTCCAGTTCTCTAACTCTATAATTCAATAAAGATTTTAATTTCAGTTCAATTTTTAATTCTTCATTTCTTTCCTCAGTCCTTTCTCCTTTCATATATCTAGCTACTGTGATTTTTAAATCTTACTTTTAGGTCTTTAATCCCTTTATACATATGCTATCTTATTAAGGAAATTTTATTATTTTTATCTAACACATAAATTGTAAGGTTTTTTAGGTCTACTCTTGCTATTTGTAGTGTTGGACTTCAAACACTGATGGTAACTTTCTTAAGGAGTTTGGAAATTTTGGATTTTGAAGTCATTTTCACTGACACATCATTTGTGCGAAAGCTATGTAGCTGTAAACTTATATTACACCTTGTCAGCAAAGTCTTAGCTTTGTACAGATCTTTATACTCATGATTTCTGTGCTCCTCTCTTTAACCTAGAACACTTGTGAATCAAAGAACCATTTTTGCAACTGCTTACTGGATACTCAATGAGCAAAATACCTAATACACAGAACATATATACACATACACATACCCCTTGATTAACGTGACACAGGCAAGAAACACTTGTCATCATTTATCCATTGTATCCAAATTAGTAGAGACTTCCCTTTAAATTTCACTCCTCCTTTCCACCTACACTATCAATTACTTTTACTTACAGTCTAATTAGTTACAACATCTCCCAGCATCTAAGTAGCTATTAATCAACTCCTTAAAACATATCCTTTATAAAAACTGAGTTATTACCCATATTTTACTACATGAATTATATCTATTATTTCTTTTAAACTGTTTAAAAAATAAGCATGTTGTGCTTCAGTGAACATTAAACACTACTACATTTATTACTATTAGTCAGTGACATGTTCTTCAAAACTAAGTTTTAAGCAGGATAAATTGTAATTGAACATAAGCACAAATTGTGGGCCTTAATATTACTAGATGATAGGTATTTCAGTATTGCTACTTACCTTATGGGCAGGTACCAGATTTACCAAAACAGTATCCAAAAGTTCCTGAGACACTGTATCACCTTCACATATAATAGAGCTCATAAGATCTACCATGTGCATATGAACTTTCTGGTTGTGGCCATTGCTGAAATTCAAAATAGATGTTTTATTTAAAATATAACTAAAATGTATAGGATTTAATCGCATGGCAATAACACATACTGGGTTTTTTTAATGAAACTAAAGTATTATGAAATCAAATTCAGGATACTTATTTCAAAATTTTCTTCCTCCCAAATCTCACAGCAGTATCCAAAATATAGTTGTACTCTACATCTGCTGGATTACTTTTCCATAATTTTAAACAGCCTCATAAAGTAATTAAATGGAACTGTAGTTGTGACTTAAATTCAAAATCAATTGCCCTGCTAAGTTAATTCTATTAATTTTAAAGAGTACACAAAAAAGTCAGAAATATATAATTTAAATAATCAGTAAAAATACAATAATCCAAATAATATTTTTACACTTGGGTATAAATTACCTTATGCCAGTCTTGTAATACCACTACCTTGTAATACAAAATTAAGTTCCATTCATTTTTAAAACATCTATAAAAATGTTAATGAAGTCTTATGTTATATCTTTGTCTTCCAATATTAATCATAACACAGTTTATAAATATTTATCTACAACTTAAAAAAATCTTTGTATTTTATTAAAGTCCTACTGCTAATGAAGGAAAAAAACTTACTTTATAACTGAAAATAATGTTCTGTATAACTGGGTAAAAATTTCATTGCTATCTTCCAACTCGAAGCATATGTTATATGACTTGACCCAAGCAATGTTCTAAAAATAAGAGATTAAAAAAAGGTGAAACATATATAATCAGCAAAAATATAGAGCACCAAACCCATTTAAAATGTCATGCCAAGATATATTACTTACCTCCAGTAAATAAAAATACCTATTGAATTGTGGGCTCTTTGTATCTTCTAGACCCTTCAACTGCCTTGTTATAAACATAAATATATCCTTTAAAAAAAAAAAAGATGAAATATTTTTAGATGGTATATGTCAAATGAAAATACCCACTGAAACGGTTAAAGTGAAAGTCTGCGCCTATCAGTATCTATCATGATAAATTTTTAAGCATCAGGAAAAAGAAATATTTGGCTGGAAATTTTTTAATGCACACCATCGTATAACACTATATCTTATTACCCATCACAGGAAAACAGTAACTCATTTACCATGACCTTAAAGCAAGTTTAAAAAAGACACTTGAAAACTCATTAAACTAAAATTTATACAAACTAGGGCCTCCCTGGTGGCGCACTATAAAGTTATCTGTAGCCACTGCAGCACGAATTTGATCCCCAGGCAGGGAGGTGACCCATATGGCATAGCAGACCTCTCCAGTCTCTCCCGCTGCTCCCCTCAGCAATGTATTTCAGTAGATCCACCTGTTCTGCTCCCCACTCTGTCTATGGTCAATCTTCTTACCCCCTGCACCTCTCTCTGGCCTGCACCCCAGCTCTTGTATGCATAAATAAATCTTTTAAAAAAATTCATACTGGGCCTCTTGTAATTTTGATTTACAAGGTAAGACACAATTCATGAAGCTATCCGCAGCCACTGCAGCACAAGTTTGATCCCCGGCCAGGGAGCTACCCACATGGCACAGCAGACCTCTCCTGACTCACCCGCTGCTCCCCTCAGCAGTGTGTTTCAGTCAATCTGCCTGTTCTATTCCCCACACTGTCTCTGGTGAATCCTCTAACCCCCCCGCATCTCTGGCCTATACTCCAGTTCTTGTATGCATAAATAAATCTTTAAAAAAAAATTTATACTAGGGCCTCCCTGGTGGCACAAGGGGTTAAGTGTCAGCACTGTGAAGCAATCTGCAACTACTGCAGCATGAGTTCAATCCCCAGCCAAGGAGGTGACCCACATGGCACAGCAGATGGATCCTGTCTTGCCCACTGCTCCCCTCAGGAGTGTATTTCAGTGGATCTATTTGCCTGTTCTGCTCCCCACTCTGTTTGATGAATCCTCTCAACCCCTGCACCTCTGGCCTACACCCCAGCTCTTGTATGCATAAATAAATAAATCTTTTTAAAAAATTATACTAATTAATAATGTTAGAATTAAAAAAAGGTCACAATGGCTGAGAACTGATCAAGTTTGCTGAAAAAAAGCACTAAGTGATAATTATATAGGGAGAACCCAGTTTAGGAAACTTAAAATTACAAAACAAAATGACCAAGTGAAAAAAACAACAGATTACAGAAGCTTTGAGATTTTCAATGTCCCTTAGAAAAAGCTAACTTGTCAAGTTTCCTACCTATCATTATAACTTGTTTTTCCCTATTTCTCAGTCTATTCCATATCTTGATTTTTTTTTCCTACATCTCCCTTTGTACCTAGATAGAGATAGAGTCAATGTCACTTGAGTCAAATTTTTGTGGAGATGTTTTTGAAAAGTTTGGGAAAGGTTAAAATTATAAAAGCAAATTCTGCAAAGCATGCTATCAGTCAAAAATCAAACAGAAAAAAATATTTCTCTGTAAATTAAATGATAAACAAGCATATTTTTTAATGGGAAGAATGTAGTAAGCAGATGACTGAGTAGTTTCTCAAGAAAAATACTACCAAGAGTACATCCTTCAAAAATCATTACTTTGATAGTTGTATAAAATGTCTGAATTAACCCTTTCCTGATTTGCCATACTGACTCCATCTTAAGATGAAAGCCAATAGCCATTCACTTATAATCTCTCCAATAATCACTAACCTAAACATGAAGCCAGGCATATAAAAAAAATTTTCTGATGACAACAACAATCTGATAGTGGAAAGATAATGATCAAAGTAATAATTTTCTATCATGTATATACTACTACTGTAGAAGAGAAAATAAGAACTTGACATCAACTAAGATTAAAAAAAAATTTAGTAGGGCCTCCCTGGTGGTGCAGCAGATTGAGCGTAGCATGTGAAGCTGTCCACAGCCTCTGCAGCATGGGTTCGATTCCTGGCCAGGCAGGGCGATAACCACATGGCGCGGCAGACCTCTCCAGTCTTGCCTGTTGCTCCCCTCAGCAGTGTTTCTGGTCCGTTTGCCTGTTCTGCTCCCCACTCTGCCTCTGGTGAATTCGCTCACCCTCCCACGCCTCTGGCGTGTACCCCAGATCATGTATAAATAAATCTTTAAAAAAAATTTAGTCCTTAAATATTTTTTAAAATACTCCCAAATTAATAATCTTTAAGTTCTACCCAATAAAAGAAAAAAAAGGCATATAAAATAAGACCAAAACAATGACCCCAAAAAAAGATACTTTAAATTTTTCAATTGTAAAATAATCCAAAAAGATTCTAGTTTAATCTCTTGCTCTTCAATATTCTTCTCATAAATTCTTCTGTTGTAACTAGAACAGATCTGTAGCTATTCTTTTGGGAGGACTTTTCATTACCCCAAAGCCTGGAAGTAGGTCATGATCATGCAAACTGAGAAATCCACAAGATAGGTAAAACAAATTGTGAGGCAGTAGTTTAAAATTAAGACATTTCTCCTTATGGGAATGATAACAACTCTTCCTGGTGAAAAAGCCAACCAAATACAGAAGAAGCTCACAGCCAACCACATACAATCATTGCTTAAATCAATAAAATACCTCCAAATTAGAAGTTCTCAATTCAAATGCAAGACCTATATCAAGGTTTCATAACTCCAGGGGCCAGCCTATATTATCAACTGTTAAGTCTGTAACCATTCTCAAATCTTAAAATTCCATGTTTATGAAACTATTAACCCAACCTCCCTCATCATGAGCCAAACAAGCTTTCAAACTGGAATTTTGGCAGACTTGATCAAAAACGAGGATCCTTGCTCCAATATTCAAGAAGCTACACCATAAATTTAAAAACCCTATCTGGACATTTTCTTCACCACTATAAAACCAGCTCATGACACATACTTTACATCAGTATTTGTTAAATGAAATCAACCCAAACTGTGTTTTTCTCCATACTGGGTGTTAACCTTCCTACAGAATCAATTCTCTAACTCGCAGCTACCACAATTATCTTCTGCCGTTGTTGTTTTTCTAACTTTCTGCTTACTCTGCCTTATTCAATATATTTTTGAACTGCTCGAATTATTTCATGTTTCCTACCAGCACTTAATTTTTCATCATATTACCTTACTTACAGTAACCAAGTACATACTAGGTGTCATTTACACCTTTTCACTAATATTTTATTTACTGTGTTTCCTTCAATACAATTCACATCCCACCTTCCATGAAATGAACTTGGACTCATTATAAATTTAGGTTTACACAATGAGCTACAATCTCACTCATGTGAGAATGGCCCATATCAAAAACGGCCAGAAATAAGAGTTGGTGAGGATGTGAAGAAAAAGGAACCCTCTTACACAGTTGGTGAGAATGTAGGCTGGTCCAGTCCCTATGAGAAACAGTATGGAGGTGTCTCAAAATATTAAAAATCAATCTACCAGGTGATCCAGCAAATCCAATTTTAGGTTATCTACCCAAAGACTACAAAATAACTAAATCACTGCAGTACTGTTTACAATAGCTAAGCCATGGAAACAACCTAAGCTCCTAAAAACAACTGAGTGGATCAGAAAGATATAGTGTATGTACATAATGGAATACTACTCAGCTATTAAAAATTATAAACTCTTGCCATTTGTGATCATTTGAGTATAACTAAAGGAGATAATGCTTAGCGAAATAAGTCAGAAGAAGAAAGAAAACTATCAGATGGTGTTACTTATATGTGGAATGTAGAGAAACAAAAGAAAGGGTACAATAATATCAACTAATTAAAAAAACCTAGCAATCTGACTGTAGAACTGAGGTTATTAGTGGGGGGACACACACACAAAGTGGAAGGGAACACAATGCACTATCAGTGATTTGGAGGTCTGTATGGGGTAGTAACAACACCTGAAGGGAGAGATCATATACCTCTAAAAACAAAGACATCAAATAAAATTTAGGTTTATACTAGAAACTGTCTTTTAAATAATAAATATGACCTTTGTTGTGAATTTTCAAAGGGATGAACAAAGTGTCCTCCAAATGATACCAAATTAGAGCTAATGATGAGATAATAAACAATTATAGAATAGGGGACTCCCTGGTGTTCTAGGAGTTAGTCTCAGTGCTATCATGGCTAAGGCCTAAGTTCGATGCCTGGCCAGGGAGCTGACCCACATATGGAACAACAGACCTCTCCTATCTCGCCCAATGCTCCCCCTAGCAGTGTATTTCAGTATATCGGTCGTTCTACTCCCCACTCTGTTTCTGGTGAATCCTCTTACCCCGCTGCACCTCTGGCCTACACCCTAGTTCTGCACAAAAATAAATAAAAAATTTTTTTAAGAATCATCGAATATACTGTACTAATCTACTATTTCATAAAGATAGAAATTGTTTTACAATACTGTTACACGTGGGGTTGGGGGGAAGAAGGGGTGCCTCAGAAGAAAAAACAAGTTTAACTAAAGATTTAATTGCAGCTAATGTCAAAGAATGTATATAAATTATTTAAGTGCTTTAACTCCCATTTTATTAGATAAATGGAAGTAGCAATCAATTCAACAGTTCTTTAAATCAGTACTTGCCTTTAGTTTATCAGGAGATGTGTAAGGAGCTTCAGGAGCATAAATCCTGAAAATATCAGCAAGGCAGCAGGCTACCAATAAGCGAACATCTTTATCAGGATGCTTAAGGAAAAAATCTGATGCAAGGTGTAAAGCTAGGTTTAAATAAAGCTCCTTTTCTTCTTCAGAGTCCTGGTCCATATCCATGAAAGTTTTCACAACCATCTAGACAAAAATAAAATAATGAAATCCTCTATGTAAACATAGTCATTTGAAATAAAAACTCTATTAACTGCAATGGTTAACTTCAAATAAATACATTTTTCCCCTGAAAGTATCTGAGTTAAAACTACAGGGTAAATAACTTTTCTTTAAAAGACTAAGTTAAATAGAGTCTTCCTGGTGGCACAAGTGGTTAAGTCTCAGCACTATGAAGTTATTTGCAGCCACTGTATCATGAGTTCGATCCCCAGCCAGGGAGCGGACCCACATGGCGCAGCAGACCTCTCCTGTCTTACCCACTGCTCCCCTAAGCAGTGTATTTCAGTGGATCCGCCTGTTTTGCTCCCCACTTTGTCTCTGGTGAATCCTTTCACATACACACACCCCACACACACATCTGGCCTACATCCCAGCTCTTGTATGCATAAATAAAATCTTTAAAAAAAAAAAAGATTAAAGTAATTTTCATGATATCAGATAAACAGATTTTAAAAGTATAAAACCAGTCTTACACAGTGTTTCTAGTCTCGCTTTTACAATTGAGCTAAAAGGAGTAAGCGCTTCCTAAAAATAGTATTCCTAGGGCCTCCCCGGTGGCGCAGCGGTTGAGCGCTGGGTTGTGAAGCTGCCCGCGGCCTCTGTTGTGCCGGTTCGATCCCCGGCTGCTACCCGGCCACCGGAGGAGGGTCCCACATGGCGCGCAGACCTCTCCTGCCGCCCGCTGCTCCCCTCAGTAGTGTACTTCGGTCCTTCTGCCTGCTCTGCTCCCCGCTCTGGCTCTGGTGAATTCTCTCACCCTCCCGCGCTTCTGACTGTAGCCAGTGCTTGTATAAACAAACAAACAAACAAATAAATAAATAAATAATACACGCCTCTAAAAAAAAAAAACCTTCTAATCCTTTTACTAGAAAAGTATGACTCTAAAGAAAAACCTAGGATGATCATTTACTTTTCCATATAAATTATGAGCCATAAACCACTCCAGATACATGGAGATATATATATTCAGCTTAAAAAAAAAAAAGACCATATAAGCAGATTCAAGAAAGAAATATTTCTAGAGGGTAAAAACTACCACCAAATGACCTTGTGGTCACTCAACATATTATCTATTGTGCCACAGTAAAAGAGAATGTGAACACTGATAATTCATTAACGGGACTCAAAGTCATGTATGGAATGAGCAGAAGGAAACTATACAAAATGGTTTCTTTTTCAAAAATATTTAAAATAAAGGGGAGAGAAACAAGAATGGTGAGGAATGGTAATGTTCAAATTTTGTGGAGAACATTTCTAATTGCAGTATTAGTACTCACAAAGTATGCACAGTCTACAGTATTCCTACTTCAAGTGAGACTTTACAAAATTTCCTAAATTGACAGGAATATTTAAACAAGTCTGATGAAAGGTGACCATCTGACATCCACTAGGTGGTGCTATGAATACTAATCAACAAGTAGGACTCGCCACCAAGTTATCAATGGCGATGCCTTAGTCCTTAAGATGTACAGCAATGATTTCCTACTATAGTGCTAGACTTTTGAGTAATAAATTGTTTGATGTCTTACTGAATTCTTAGCACAGCATGGAAAACAATGTTCCTCACAGAACAGACCCCGAATTCTATTTTGCCAGATGTCAGAATAAACAGTAGACTAATCCTTTCAGTCTGGCAATACAGTTATTAATAATTTAAAAGTGTGATTTTGAAAGTTACTCCCTAATTTTCTAATTGTATTACTTTTAAGATATATACTTTGATGACCTATATATAAAAAATGGGAGAGAACTCACCACCCCACGTACCTCTGGCCTACACCCCAGCTCTTGCATGCATAAATAAATATTCAAAAAAAATGGGGGGGGAAAGCTATGTTCAGGGGGCTATCCCTTCTCTAGAATCTCTTCAAAGACTAAGAGATTAAGCATTTTTTTGAAAGATTTATTTATTTGTTTGTTTGTTTGTTTATACAAGCACTGGCTACAGTCAGAAGCGTGGGAGGGTGAGAGAATTCACCAGAGCCAGAGTGGGGAGCAGAGCAGGCAGAAGGACCGAAGTACACTGCTCAGGGGAGCAGCGGGCGGCAGGAGAGGTCTGAGTGCCATGTGGGACCCTCCTCCGGTGGCCGGGGAGCAGCCGGGAATCGAACTGGCGCTGCAGAGGCTGGGGCAGCTTCGCAACCCAGCGCTTAAGCGCTGCGCCACCAGGGGAGGCCCGAGATTAAGCATATTTTTAATAAAATGTTACAGGAAACCACAGATATGACACCTTATATATTAACAAACATAATTTATACATCTTACATCTGTACTTGTACATATCAAAACTTATTATCAACCTACATACACTAAATTCTTTCTATATTTCTCTAAGAAGGATGTCAAAAAAATAGTGGAAATGTGTATTAGTAAAGTAAATGAAGAAAAAGTGTGTCAACTAAATTACTACTGGGTGTAAGTTTACAAAATAATGGATGCACAGTACAAACTAAATGCAAGCACTTTGGAAATCATTCCATTAAGAATAAAACAAAGTTTACTGAAGGGTTATATAACAGGTAGTTCCTCACTACTGTCTAGAATTCAAATGGTGTTATGAAACTCATTACTGACTCAAATATGAGTCTTCTAAATTGAAGTTGCATGAGAAAATAGGATCTCTAAAAGATGTTGCTAAATACTAGTCAGCCTGTAAGTGTCGTCTCTGTTTCTTATATGTCATTGCTGAAATACAAACAAATATAAGGAAATAAATGTATCTGTAAATTCAATAGGGTCAACAGACGTAAATACAGATAATGAATAATGTTAAATACATAATTTGCAGCTCAACTATTTTAGGGCCTCCCCAGTGGCGCAGAAGTTGAGCACTGGGTTGCAAAGCTGCCCGCAGCCTCTGCAGCACCGGTTCAATCCCTGGCCGCTCCCTGGCCACCGGAGGAGGATCCCACAGGGCACGCAGACCTCTCCTGCCACCTGCTGCTCCCCTCAGCAGTGTACTTCGGTCCTTCTGCCTGCTCTGCTCCCTGCTCTGGCTCTGGTGAATTCTCTTACCCTCCCGCACTTCTCACTGTACACAGTACTTATATAAATAAATAAATCTTTAAAAAAAAAAAATATATATATATATATAAGTTCCCAGCTAGATAAAATATCCACCTATTTTTCAGTAAATTTAATTTCCTCAAAAACATCTTTCCCATTTAATAATAAATATCTGATATCTGACATTCTAATACTTTATGCATACAAGTATAATATTAAGACTTTAGATGAAATTTATAATAGTATTAGAATTCTTATCTTTTAATTAAAATAACCCTTGTAATAGTAGCTATACGACAGAGTACTTTACTATAAGGGTCCTGGCCCTCAACCATTTAAGTAAGGCAGTTTTCCGCTATTAAAATACAGGTAAATAATAAATCAAGTCAACATAAATGTCTAGGTAGATACAGCCTAGAAGGGGGAAAATGCTCAAAAACAGATAAAGAATATCAGCGTCACATTCTCCTTGGTAAAAATCTTAAAGGATGGCCAATCACAGAACTCTTCATTGCCTTGAATGAAAAGGTAAAATATTACTCAAAGACATATAGAGGACTATCGTCATACAATGACTTATCCATGGAAATTCACCATCAAACTTGATCCATTGCTACATGTCAGAAGTAAAGAGAGAAGTTAAAAGCTCTTTAACCTACTCTCAAAATAACAATTTAAAATAAAGCCTGAGTACTCAGTGCAAAGACTTAGAACTTTCTCAAACTAAAATGGTTCTCATAAAATATTAAATGAGATATAGGAGAAAAGAGATATCTTACTGCAAATAAAAAAGAAGGTAAGAGTACTCTGGATTAGTTTTTTACACCCAAGTAGAGGAGGTCTTAGAGTAAAGTTGCCTTAAAAACACAGTCCTATTTGATTTCCATAGTTTAGCCTCTCAACCTAAACAGATGTACAAAATACAAAAGCCTTCTTTACTCACCTTTAACCGTCTCACCATCTCCTCTTTAGATATTTTATCTGAGATTTCCTTGACACCAGGAGGATAAGTAATTTTTCCATCATTGGTCCTTGTCTTTGAATGAGCCATGTTGGATATATTTTTACCCCTAAAACAAGAGAACTATTAGATGCAGACCAAAAAATTGGTACAAACAACATTCATAGTAAACATGAAAAGTAACCTCCCTCCCATACTTAAAAATACCTTTTATGCTATAGTAATTCACTTATCTCACTAGTAAAAAAAAAGAAAAAAAAATCACTTGATTGAACATTTACAATTTTTTAAATATTATTTTCATATGTTAGTGGCAAGTTGGGTTATCTGCATTAACCCTTCAGCTATAGAAACTGTACCTCCCTGGTGGCGCATAAGGTTAAGTCTCAGCACATGAAGCTATCCGCAGCCACTACAGCTCAAGTTTGATCCCAGGCCAGGGAGCTACCCACATAGTTCAGCAGACCACTTCTGTCTTGCCCACTGCTCCCCTCAGCAGTGTATTTCAGTACATCTGCCTGTTCTGCTCCCCACTCTTATCTCTGGTGATTACTCTCATCCCCCACCCCTTTGGCCTGCACCACAGCTCTTGGATGCATAAATAAAGTAAATGTTTTTGTTGGTTTTTTTATTTTTTTATAGAGGCATGTTTTTATTTATTTATTTGTTTGTTTGTTTTGTTTATACATGCACTGGGTACAGTCAGAAGCGCGGGAGGATTAGAGAATTCACCAGAGCCAGAGTGGGGAGCAGAGCAGGCAAAAGGACCCAAGCACACTGATGAGGGGAGCAGCGGGCGGCGGAGAGGTCTGCGCGCCATGTGGGACCCTCCTCCAGTGGCCGGGGAGCAGCCGGGGATCAAACCGGCGCTGCAGAGGCTGCAGACAGCTTCGCAACCCAGGACTCAACCGCTGCGCCACCGGGGAGGCCCTAAAGTAAATGTTTAAAAAAAAAAAAAAACCTAATATTGATAAAGAAAATGTCTAAAATAAGCACAGATTTTTAAAGCACCATAAATTACTCAGGCCAAAATCTAAGAATACAGGAAACCAGAAAAGTAAATGGAACACTGGAACTTTACACCTATTTATGCCCTGGGGGCATTTGCCAACACTGACAAATCTAAGATTCAGTTTTAGTGGTGTTAAGCAACAAAAGAACAAGTAAATCTGTACCTGTCAAGGTAAATATCAAATAAGATATCCTTTCTGACACTAACAGAGTTAATCAATCCCAAAAAGAACACCTGCAAAGGAAAAAGTAAACCAGAATACCAACATGTGCCCATACTCCTCAACACCACCCACAGGGGACAGAGCTAAGTAGTAATGGATACAAGGGAGAAATAGCTACTTTTGGCCATGAATCTGCACATTAGCTGAGATACACATAACCTCAGTATTCAGAGAACCTTAATAAGTGAACTCAGCGACCCTCCCAATAGGTAGTACTCCCAAGCACCTAATGTAAGTAAGTCTAAATCCTGGCTAGAGAAGGGCATCTTCATCCTATACCTCAAAGAATCTATACTGTAGTGTTTCTTTCTCTCTCTTTTTTTTAATTTATTTTATTTATTTATGCATAAAAGAGCTGGGGTATAGGCCAGAGGTGCAGGGTGTGAGAGAATTCATCAGAGACAGAGTGGGGAGCAGAACAGGCAGAGCCACTGAAATACACTACTGAAGGGAGCAGTGGGCCAGACAGGAGAGGTCTGCTGTGCCATGTGGGTCAGCTCCCTGGTCAGGGATTGAATTCATGCTGCAGTGGCTGGTGACAGCTTGATAGTACTGAGACTTAAACCCCTTGCACCAACCAGGGAGGCCCACACTGTAGTTTTTCTAGGACAGTGAACATTACCAAGTCAAAAATAACCAAAGAAACAAGGTAATATAAAAACAAGAACCAGAAGAAATCTGCAGACTTGTGATAATTATCAGAGATTATAAAACTACTTTGTTTTAAAAAGTTGAAGAAATAATAAGTAAATTTGGAATTTCTACAAGAAGTGAAAAATTATGAGTTTATATCAGCAGGTTATAGAATTAGTGACCTGGAATAGAGGTCAGAGGAAATTATATAAAGAAGAGAACAGAGAAACCTAAAAATGGAAAAAAGGTCTAACTTAAGATTCATTAGCGTGACAAAGGAAAGGAATGAGGCCCAGGACGCTACCGTACAAATTCAAGAAGGTTAACCAAATTAAATTCAAAATAGTAATTCCAGAACACAAGTAAAACTTTAGCAGATTCATTACCTTGAAAGGAAGAGTATTTAAACTAATAGGTGACTTCTCAACATCAACATAAGCCAGAAGACAAGAAAATGTCATCTTCCAATGTGGGGAAAGAATCTAATTGCAAAGCTTAAAAGTTTACATCCACGGAATATAATTTAAGACTAAGTGGAAATGAGGAAAAATTTACCAAACAAGAACTGAGAGCTCTAACTTTACATATCGCTTAAAACAATGCTTAGGACATACTATGCGCTTTACCATATCTGTGTATGATATGCAGGATAAGGTTAAGAGACTAAAACTTAAAGTTTCAATATAAGAGGTTTACAAGACATTTAAAAATAAGGATATGCAATGCTAAAAGATGGGGAAAAGGATCATGCACAGAAACTAAACCAAAGGAAAGCACTTAAGCTAAATGTAAATTTTTTTTTAAAGATTTATTTATTTATTTATACAAGCACTGGGTACAGTGAGAAGCGTGGGAGGGTGAGAGAATTCACCAGAGCCCGAACGGGGAGCAGAGCAGGCAGAAGGACCGAAGTACACTGCTGAGGGGAGCAGCGGGCGGCAGGAGAGGTCTGCGCGCCCTGTGGGACCCTCCTCCGGTGGCCGGAGAGCAGCCGGGGATGGAACTGGTGCGCAACAGAGGCCGCAGGCAGCTTCACAACCCAGCGCTCAACCGCTGCGCCACCGGGGAGGCCCATAAATGTAAATTTTTAAAAAGCTGCAGTAGGCTTTACACTGGACCCACTCACTGGTTTTCTAGTATTTGGAATTATGTATATAAACCATGACAACAAAAAAACAATAAAAAAAAAAGGGGGGGAAGAATCACAGCTCAATCTTGCTCATGAAAATAGCTGCAAAATTAAAATTCCTGAACAAAATACTAGGAAAACAAATATGTAACATGGGGCGGGGGAGGGGGGGTATTTATTCCAAGAATGCAGGGTCTAATTCACCAGATTAATTAGATTAAAAAAAAAATCAGGTGACATTCTTAATATAAGGAAAAATGACAAAATACAAATCATTCATGACTATAACAAAAAAGGGAAAAGTAAGATTAACAAACTATCAGACAAAAGTGTTTTATATGAGTAGGTTACTATGAACACCAGAAGCATAAACTAGTGATCTACTGATAGTCTTTTACTTGTGATCAGGATCTACACAAGCATACCTACCACCATCTCTTCTATTTAACTTTGCTAGTAAATAAAGAGTAAAGGTACAAAAGAATAGTTATTACTGGCATATAATATGATTATGTATATGGAAACTCCAAAACAGGGATGGGAACAACACAAGGGACTATAGTGAAGGTATACGGATGAATTGGTGGTGGTTCTTCCACAAGGACTATACCCAAAATGATAAAGTATACAAATTAAGAAGGATATAAAAAATATATAAAAATAATTTTTAAAAACATCAGAATTAATGAATCAGCAAGGTTGCAGAGTACAAAAATCAATATGCAAATATCACTAAATGGTGACTGAATAATTCCTCCGAAGTTCAGAAATAAGACAAGGATATCTGCTTTCAATACTTTTATTCAACATATAAAGATACTTAAAGGGACACTTAAACCTAATTACAATAAAGTAAAAATCAAAATCAACAAGCAACTACAAACCAGAGACACACTTGGGGTGGGGGAAATAGGATCAAAACGAGGGTGGGGGTGGGAATTGTATGGGGACTATAACCAAGATGAAAATGCATACATTGTGCAAAAATGAAAAATGATGTAAAAAATGTATAAATAATAATATATATATATATAATCCAATTACAAAACGGGCAAAAGACATGAACAGATATTTGAAGAGGAAATACAGATGGCAAATAAGCACATGAAAAGATGTTCAGCATTATTGATCAATGAGAATATGCATATCACCACAATGGTATCATTATATACTGGTAGTATGACTAAAATAAAAAGTGACAACATCAACTATAGGCCAGGATGCAAAGAAACTTAAACTATCACACACTACTGGTAGAAATGTAAAATAGCACAGCCACAGTTGAAAACAGGTTGGCAGATTCTCATAAAACTAAACATGCATCTACCAATACAAACAAGCAATTGCACAGTTGGGCATTTATCCCAGAGAAATGAAAGCTGAGTTCATACAGATCTGTACCAGAATGCTTACAGCAGCTTTATTCATATACCCTAAAACTGGAAGCAATAGAAATGTCCTTCAAAGGATGGATAAGTTAAACTCTCAGAGATCATACGACGAAGTACTACTCAGCAATAAAATTCAAATACTTACATATGCAGTAACTTATGGTCATTATGCTTACTGAAAGAATCCATCACAAAAGGTTTCACACTAATGGTTCTATTTAACAATCTCAAAATTATATAACTACAGACATGGGGAACAAATTAATGGTCACTAAGAGGCATGATGAGTGACAGAAGGTAGCCTGAGCCAGACCCTTTAAGAGGGAGACAGGAAGAAAGAGAGAGAAGGAAAGAGAGAGGCAGAAGCAGAAAAAGAGCACAAAAACCCAAGAAAACTGATTGTCTGTAAATAAACAATATTATACCAGTGTCGATTTCCTGATTTTGTACTATAGTTACAGTAAGATACCACACCACTGGCAAAAGATGGGGGAATGGTTCATAGGTCTCTGTATACTATTTTTGCAACTTTCTGTCCATAATTATTTCAAAAAAAAAAATTTCAAATGTTAAGAAAAAATCAGTTATACTCATCTGAATAGCAGTCGGAAACTTTAAAAAAATACAATTTATGGTGAAAAAGTACAAACTACCTTGGAATCAATCTTAAAAGATATAGAACAACAGATGTACTTTTACAGAGAACAATTAGAAAGCATTA